GTATCAGGGCTATGAGCCTCTGCAGCACCTGCTGCAGGTGGAGAGTCTGTCCGTCAATAGCCCGTTGGGCTTGGGCATCGATAGTTTGCTTGGACACCAGCTTGATCTCCAGCTCCTTCCACCTTTGGAAACTATCTAGGTGGTCATGCGACTTCTCATGCGAGCTGAGGAGGTGGCACAGATTCTTCCAGTCCCTGGTTCCATCCCTGACCAGCACAGATTTGCACTCGTGTGAAAAAAGTTTGCAGCAAAAACAGAAGGCTGCATTGTTTTGCTTGGAATAGACAAGCCATGGTCTCTCCACTCTCTCCCCGTTCGCCATCCTCCTATTGTAGTGGGCCACCGAAAACTTTCGTTGCCCCTCATCTCTTGGGAAATTCCCCGCTTTATCCTGATGTGGCCCAGCCTGCACTAACATATCCCGTAAAGATCCATTCATATATTTTGGCCACTCACCAGGATCTTTTATGTTTTTTGTCTGGGAGTTGGATTTAGCAGCAGCACCATCACTGTCATCGGGGACGGAAGCGACGAATCTGAGTCCGGGTCCAAGATAGTAGGGTCTTTGTCGGCATTGTTTGGAGGTGTGGATAGGCCTGGTGCAACCACCTGTTCTTGTCCAGCCAGAGAGCTGTCATCATCAGTGGAAGTGCATGGCTCGGACTCCTCCGGTTTGCTCTCTTCGCTGCTAGAATCAGCGAACGGGGGCTCTTTGTTCTCGGCGAATGAATGGCCTGTCCTTGGAGGCTTGTCATTCTTCACACCGGCTGATGGACATTGCTGCATGCTGATAAATTTCAGTAGCAAATTTCTTTGGATTAGAGACTGCCTCTTTTCTCATTCGTTTTTAAAAAATATATATTCGCTTCCTGATAGTTTTTGTCCCTTAGACAGGGTAGCAAATCGTTTCAAATCTCTATAGCTTACTATTAGCTAAAATGATATCCACTAGTAGTAGCTAGCTAACATTAACAGGCTAGGTTAGGCTACTGCCTTAATCACTAATCGTCTTCATCATACACAAACATAAAAAACAAAACAATAATTTAATTGGCAGATTCATTTTTATTGGATAATCCCATATAAACACACACATCACCATAGCTATGAGCTGGTGGCTGGGGTGCCGTCGGCGGTGTAGCAGCCAATCAAGGGCGTCGGTGGGCGGCAGCCAATTGTCAAAATGCCGCCCCAAATTCAAGTGCTGCAATTGACGGCTGCCTAATCTTGCCTAATGGGAGGGCCGGCCCTGTGCTCAGCTCACTCACCCGCAATGGCCAATGAGCTTGTGCCAAAAGCTTATCTCTCTGTTGTTTTACTTGGTAAAAGCCTGTTTTGGCTGCATGCTGTTCACTGACAGATTTGTCACGTATTCCCAACTGTAGGCATGCCTCATGATTGGGCTACACACAATCCACAGCAAGGCACATTTTTTAAAATAAACTATTGATCATCTGTGGCTAAGTTATAGGCCTACTCCTGGTGTAGTATTCTGAGTTATTTCATTTATTTCTGAACAGACAGCAGTAATTCTATAACTTTGGCAAATGTATTTCAAGGTATCAGGAGTGCTGCACCTCCAGAACCCTTCGCGCGGCTATGATTCTATACGGAAATAAATGATTTTTTTTACATTTTAGTAATTTAGCAGACGCTCTTATCCAGAGTGACTTACAGTTAGTGAATGCATACATTATTATTTTTTTTTTTTTTTTCATACTGGCCCCCCGTGGGAATCGAAGTGCAATGCTGGAGAGATGAGAGTTGCAGGCTCATGTCTATCAGAGTAGAGAGAGGGAGAGATATCATAGAAAGTGAATCTCATTCTAGTTCTGTGCGAGATACAGGCGCGCTTCTCTCTCTCAGCACAGCAATGGCCACGCATTGGTCTATACAGGCTACAATGTTGGGCAAATCATAAACCCGGTCCGGCCCAACACGAATCAATTATCAGGCACGTTTTCACATTTACGTTTTTTAGGGGGCAGCGAGGAGAATTAAAGAGGAGTCAACTTGAATTAGCCTAACTCTGATTGCTTTTATTATAATTTTTACATTACAAACAGTGAAAAGTATTTTTCATGCCACGAGAGGGACCGTATCCTGGCAAATGGGTTCCAGAACGAAACAAGTCCAAAACTGAGAGGTGCCGGATCCTGCCGCTTGGGATCTAAAATTAGTGTGGGTTGGCCTCTTGTGTCTCCTTTTTGTCAATTTGAGGATGCTACAGTCACCCCTGGTGGCGGTTCTTGGAACTGCTATTTAAATTTGAGCAGAGGTTGAAGAAAACCTTAAAAGGTGGTGGTGCTATGTTGCATGTTACCTTGCATCTCAGGCAGATGTTTGTTGAGTACAGGTTGAACGTGTTGAGTACACTTCAAAAAAGAGGTTCCAACAGGGTTCTTTGGCTGTCACCAAAGGGGAACCCTTTTTGGTTCCAGGTAGAAGTATTTTTTGTTCCAGTAAGAATCCTTTTGGGTTCCATGTAGAACCCTCTGTGGAATGGAACCCAAAAGGGTTCTACCTAGGCACCAAAGGGGTTCTACCTCGAACCAAAAAGGCTTCTTCAAAGGGTTCTCTTATGGGGACAGCGGAAGAATCCTTTTAGGTTCTAGATAGCACCTTTTTTTCCTAAGAGTGTAGGCCTATTGCAGTGGTGGTTCCATGGTTTACTGTTAAAAAAGATATATGTTAATTGATGGTGGTGAGTAAAGATCATCAGAAATACTATGAAACATCCCACTTTTAGCACACATTTGCAAGCAGGCAAAGTAGCCTACTTCTATGCATGCATGATCACTCAAGATTGACAGGACAGTCAAAAAAGACATGAAAAGACAATAAAGAAATTGAGAAAACATTGAAGAAATTGACAACATTCGTAAATGTTATGAAATAAAACAAAACTTGTTGATCAAGTGTAGTAGCAGTTTGAATTGCATTGACAGAAATTATCGCAAATCAACATTGTAGATTATAAAAGACGGGAATTAACGGTAAACATTTACTGGTGGTGATGTATATGTAACGGGGAATTGATCAACATGAACAAACAAAGGGTAGCCTAAACAATTCACACAATGACACAATAAATGCGCACGATTTGTCGGGAGATAGAAACATGCCTTTAGTGTGTCTTCACACATTCCCTCCATCTTGTCTAGCAAATTAATCGGAAAACATTCTAACCTTATTAATAGGACTACATTTAGCCTAATTGGGAACACATATGGGGAGGGGAAAAGTCAAAGGATCCTAGTCAAGCTATTGCTTGTCAAATACGGATTAAATACAGGCCTTCATGTGTATCAAACCTGTAGGCGATAGTGGGCTAAATCAATGAGAAATATAGCTGAAATGTTCAGGCTTTATCATGATCTGTGATCAAAATAGGCTGGGGTGTTTTCGGTTCTGTTTAAGCAAAGGTTACAGTGAGGGAAAAAAGTATTTGATTCCCTGCTGATTTTGTACGTTTGCCCACTGACAAAGAAATTATCAGTCTATAATTTTAATGGTAGGTTTATTTGAACAGTGAGATACAGAAGAACAACAAAAAAATCCAGAAAAACGCATGTCAAAAATGTTATAAATTGATTTGCATTTTAATGAGGGAAATAAGTATTTGACCCCCTCTCAATCAGAAAGATTTCTGGCTCCCAGGTGTCTTTTATACAGGTAACGAGCTGAGATTAGGAGCACACTCTTAAAGGGAGGGCTCCTAATCTCAGCTTGTTACCTGTATAAAAGACACCTGTCCACAGAAGCAATCAATCAATCAGATTCCAAACTCTCCACCATGGCCAAGACCAAAGAGCTCTCCAAGGATGTCAGGGACAATACTGTAGACCTACACAAGGCTGGAATGGGCTACAAGACCATCGCCAAGCAGCTTGGTGAGAAGGTGACAACAGTTGGTGCGATTATTCGCAAATGGAAGAAACACAAAATAACTGTCAATCTCCCTCGGCCTGGGGCTCCATGCAAGATCTCACCTCGTGGAGTTGCAATGATCATGACAACGGTGAGGAATCAGCCCAGAACTACACGTGAGGATATTGTCAATGATCTCAAGGCAGCTGGGACCATAGTCACCAAGAAAACAATTGGTAACACACTACGCCGTGAAGGACTGAAATCCTGCAGCGCCCGCAAGGTCCCCCTGCTCAAGAAAGCACATATATACGTGCCCGTCTGAAGTTTGCCATCTGAATGATTCAAATGAGAACTAGGTAAAAGTGTTGTGGTCAGATGAGACCAAAATGGAGCTCTTTGGCATCAACTCAACTCGCCGTGTTTGGAGGAGGAGCAATGCTGCCTATGACCCCAAGAACACCATCCCCACCGTCAAACATGGAGGTGGAAACATTATGCTTTGGGGGTGTTTTTCTGCTAAGGGGACAGGACAACTTCACTGCATCAAAGGGACGATGGACGGGGCCATGTACCGTCAAATCTTGGGTGAGAACCTCCTTCCCTCAGTCAGGGCATTGAAAATGGGTCGTGGCTGGGTATTCCAGCATGACAATGACCCAAAACACACGGCCAAGGCAACAAAGGCTCAAGAAGAAGCACATTAAGGTCCTGGAGTGGCCTAGCCAGTCTCCAGACCTTAATCCCATAGGAAATCTGTGGAGGGAAATAGGCATATTTACACAGTAATGGTGGCTGGCTGCAAATCAACTAGACATATATTTTTTTATAGAGATTATATGCATATTTTAGCTAAATCGACAAATTAAATTGATTAGATTACTCTGGCAATGAAAAAAATTATGTAGGTGTTCTTTCATAATAAATTTACAAGGAAACTGACACTACGTCAAATTGACATGTTTGGACTGCAGCCCTTGTCTCCATTGACAGTCCATGTTAAGGCATGGTGGTATCTTATGGAGCTAGGAATATGTTAGGTGACTTGTTGAAATGTATCAGTAGCTTCACTAGGCTGAATTCTGGCCTGAATCACTCCCCATAGTGCGCGTTCGCGCCCTACTTCCTGGCTGCATTCCGAATATACATGAGCGTTTCCTTTCCACTGAAGGTATAGGACTTTTCCTCTCTCTTTTCACTTCTTCCCCGTGGATGATGCAGCGATGATTTTCCTCTTGACTATATTGGCAACTGTTTTCCAGACAGGTTGGTGACACTTATTTCGGTTTTATATGACATTTCCTCAATTTTATATTGTTGATTGAAATTAATGCATTGCATATGTTCGATACTTGTTTGCTTGCAGCAGACTGGCGGTAGTGATTAGTACTAGCAGCTATAGTCATTCAAGTTGCCACCTGACACTGTAGGCCTACAAATTATGAACGGAGCAGAAGGGTCAGAGTTATTTTGCGAATGGAGGGGGACTCTTGCCTTGTGACATTTGTGTGATTGCAGTTTCGTGAGTTGCTAATATTGGAGGGCCAGGGTAGAAGTTCAAGCCGGTTTTAATCATAGCCGCTGTAAGATTAACTTTTTCATAGGCTACATTACCATTCAAACGCGTAGATAGCCTATTTATCGTCACTGGAAGTTGTCTTGATAGTGTTTTCCTATGTCAACGCTACGGAGTTCTAATGCCGCGTTCACAACAACTGGGTTCGAAAGAAAACGAGCTCCGACTGGGAAAAATAATTTTCGACCTGAAGATCACGGAGGTCATGATTTCACCTCGTTTTTTCCCGAGTTCCCAGTTGCCTTGACAGCACCACAAGCAACAGAGCAAACGGGTCGTCACTAGTTACCACAGCCACAAAGTCATAAACCCCGCCCATTTCTTTAATTTATCTTCTGAAAATGTGATTGTAAACATAACCCTTAACCACACTGCTAACCTTATGCCTAACGTCAAATTAAAACCAAAAAGCATATTTTTGTTTTCATTAATTTATGGTATAGCTAATTTTGACTTTGTGGCTGTGGTAACTAGTGGAAAACGATAAACACTTTCACCAAAACCTGCACTGATCACGTGATCGTGCCAGCTGTACCCAGATAGAAAGAGAGGCCAGGCCCAACTCGGCGGAAAATCTGTCTCCCTCCAGCAGGTGGTGGTGTTTCACCCACCAAGCAAGGAGTTTTTTGTATGGCGGTCAATGAGTGTCGAATTTGGTCAACAAAATTTTTTATGGCTTATTTGGTCGAATATAAGTTTTGTAATGCACAAGTTGTTACGAGTGTACTGATATAAGTAGGACACGTGACATCCCGGCAATTTTGAGAAAAAACACTATCGGAGTTGTCTCGAGATGGCTATGCATATTCATGTATGAGGCTAGTAGCATAGCATCTCTCTATTGAATACAGGCGGTTGACGTCGACAACCCTCATCGAATATTCAAGAGAATATTACAATAATGAGATGTGTCCACCAATCCAAAGAAAGGATAGGCGGCAGCTAGACAGCCCGCTGTACCTCTTTGTGGACAACGACTCCCATTGTTAGGGCGGAGAGACATGTATTTTGTCAGTATATCCATAATCTTTGCTGTAACAGTTCAAATAATTCCATCACGGACATTGTATCCGGTTTCACTAGTTGCCACAAAGTCAAAATTGGCTAGGCCTATATCAAAATAATTGATGAAAACAAAAATTTGCTTTTTGGTCAACTTGCTTTTTGACATAAGGTTAGTAGTGTGACTAAAGTTAGGGTTATGTAATCATATTTTAAGAAGATAAATTGTCGAAATGGGCGGGGTTTATGACTTTGTGGTTGTGGTAACTAGGGATCCAGGCGCCGGTGACGCTAGCAATCTGATTGGTTGGTCGCACTCACACGAGCACCTCGGCTCATGCGAGTCTATGATATGGGACGGAGTAAAACGGTCATTGCCTGTTCAGCAGGAAAAACTAGAGGATTTGGTGCCAAAACAGGCACGAATTGAGGAATCTGAATTCCTGTAGCTCAGTTGGTAGAGCATGGCACTTGCAACGCCAGGGTTGTGGGTTCGTTTCCCACGGGGGGGCAGTATGAAAATGTATGCACTCACTAACTGTAAGTCGCTCTGGATAAGAGCGTCTGCTAAATGACTAAAATGTAATGTGCTATTTCATATTTCACGCAAGCCAAAATGTATGCTTTACAAGCAACACTTACTTTATGGAAGATGTGGGTGGGGGTGGGTGTAATCAGACACCTGCTCAGCTCAACAGATAACTAAATCCTCTCTAGAACATATTAAATTGGCCATGAGATATTGTAGTAATAGTCATATCATAGATGTGATCTTGTATTGCTTGGACTGATATTAGGTTTATCACACATGATTGTTATAAATACACCGGATAGGTGCAGTGAAAGTTGTTGTTTTACAGGGTTAGCCATAGTAGTACGGCGTCCCTGGAGCAACTTAGGGTTAAGTGCCTTGCTCAAGGGCACATAGACAGAACATTATCAGCTTGGGTATTCCAACCAGCAACCTTTCAGTTGCTGACCCTACGCTCTAACTGCTAGGCTACCTGCCACCCTAACAGATTTGTACATTTGCCATATTCAGCGGGCTAGGTGGAGTTTCCACCATATTGCTCACACACCCAGCCGCTTATTTCAAATCTACGAGGTATGACCAATCAACAAGTGTCATGGGCTAGGGGTTGATTTGGGACTGGACATGATGATCATGCTTTCACCCTAGGTTGGACGGGCGTCAACGAGCACAGCTTCATAGCTGTGAAACCGGACGGTGTGCACCGGAGGCTGGTGGGAGAGATCATCCAACGCTTTGAGAAAAAGGGCTTCAGATTGGTGGGAATGAAACTAGTGCAGGTAGGAACACGCACCATGATGCACGTCCACCAAACACATACGGGGAGGAGGAGGAACCACTTCATTAGACGGTTTATTAACATAGTTTAAAACGCGTGTACGCCATCTTTTCAAAACAAACAGGCAATATCCAGCCTTTCCAGAGCAGTGTGAAGGGGGTCACTGGAGAAATCTTGTAAAATATATTTAAATAAAATGTGATTTGTGTTTGTGAAAGGGGCTTATGATATACTGTCTGTGTTCGATCTTTCTCTGATGTGATGTGGGTGTGTTCGCCAGGCGTCCGAGGACCTCGTGAGAGAGCACTACTGGGACCTGAGAGACAAACCCTTCTTCAATGGACTGGTGCGCTACATGAGCTCTGGACCCATCGTTGCCATGGTGAGATAGCATGCATACTACTACATACACAGATACCCTCTCTCCCTCTCAAGACATTTTACATATTCTATAAAAATAGCTGGTTTACACAATTTTACTGGTTATCCAGGTTAATGTGCACATCCCTAGTTGTGCAATTGTTCATCCTGGTGTGTATGTATGTGTTTAGGTGTGGCAAGGTCTGGATGTGGTGAAGATGTCTCGCAAGATGCTGGGAGAGACCAACCCTGCAGACTCCCTACCAGGAACCATCAGAGGAGATTACTGTGTGGAAGTGGGCCGGTAAAGTGTGTCTGTGTGTTGTGTGTGTTTATAATCAGTGACAATGAAATTATATCTTGTCTGTCTATATGTGTCCGACTTTCTACTTTCTGTGTTGTAGGAACGTGATCCATGGCAGTGACTCTGTAGAGAGCGCTCAGAGGGAGATCTCTCTGTGGTTCAGGCAGAATGAGCTACAGTGCTGGGAGGATACTGGATCTATGAGTGACACACACACCACTTGTAGACCACCCAAGTGACTTCAGAAACTATTCACACCCCTTGACTTTTTCCACGTTTTGTTTTTCTAGGTGGGATTAAAATGGATTTGTCTTTTTTTTTTGACAACGGTCTACACAAAATACTCTGTCAAAGTGAAAGAGAAATTCTAACATATATACAGATATTCATGAAAAATACAACACTAATATATCTTGGATAAGTATTCATCCCCCTGAGTCAATACATGTTAGAATCACCTTTGGCAGCGATTAGTCTTTCTGGGTAAGTCTCAGAGCTTTGCACACCTGGATTGTACAATATTTGCACATTAATCTTAAATTCTTCAAGCACTGTCAAGTTGGTTGTTGATCATTGCTAGACAGCTATTTTCAAGTCCTGCCATAGATTTTCAAGCTGATTTAAGTGAAAACTGTAACTAGACCACTCAGGAACATTCAATGTTGTCTTGGTAAGCAACTCCATTGCCTTCAGAAAGTATTCACACCCCCTTTTCCACATTTTGTTGTTACAGCCTGAATTTAAAATGAAGTAAATTGAGATTGTGTCACTAGCCTACACACAATACCCCATAATGTCAAAGTGGAATTATGTTTTAATATTTTTATTTATTAATATTTTAAAAGCCGAAATGTTTTGAGTCAAGCTTAAATAAGTTCAGGAGTAAAGACTTGCTAAACAAGTCACACAAGTTGCATGGACTGGGGAGTTTTTTTAGGATAAAATAAACAGAACAGAGCTAAGCACAGGCAAAATCCTAGAGCAAAACCTGGTTGTCTGCTTTCCAACAGACACTGGGAAACCGTCACCTTTCAGCAGGACAATAACCTAAACCACAAGGCCAAATATACACTGGAGTTGCTTACCAAGACGAAGTTGAATGTTCCTGAGTGGCCTAGTTATAGTTTTGACTTAAATCAGCTTGAAAATATATGGCAAGACTTGAAAATATCTGTCTAGCAATGATCAACAACCAACTTGACAGAGCTTGAATAATTTTTTTAATAATAATGTGCAAATATTGTACAACCCAGCTGTGCAAAGGACGTAGGGCCCGGATCCGATCCGAGTTAAGCGCGCTTAAATGGAACGTAATTCACTTTTTATGCACTTTTCTCTCTGCTTATTCTGACCTTGAACTTAAAGGAAAACTCCACCGAAAAACTAAGTTTTGGTATTTGTTTAATTAGTCCATTGTTGATCTAGTCCCAAAAGGTTTTGCATGTCAGCAATCAAGTTTTCAATATATCTAACTTAGAAAATACAGAAATCTGGCCCGTATGATGCAAAATGCATCATATGATGCTAAATGCATCATACGGCCCATATTTCTGTGTTGGACCCATGTTTCATGAGCTGAAATAAAAGATCCCAGAAAATTTCCATATGCGCAAAAAGCTTATTTCTCTCAAATGTTGGGCACACATTTGTTTACATCCCTGTTATTGAGCATTTCTCCTTTTCCAAGATAATCCATCCACCTGACAGGCGTGGCATATCAAGAAGCTAATTAGACAGCATGATTATTACACAGGTGCACTTTGTGCTGGGGTCAATAAAAGGCCACTCTAAAATGTGCAGTTTTGTCATACAACATAATGGCACAGATGTCTCAAGTTTTGAGCGTGCAATTGGCATGCTGACTGCAGGAATATCCACCAGAGCTGTTGCCAGATAATTGAATGTTCATTTCTCTACCGTAAGCTGCCTCCAACCTCGTTTTAGAGAATTTGGCAGTACGTCCAACCGGCCTCACAACTGCAGACCACATGTAACCACGCCAGCCCAGGACCGCCATATCCAGCTACTTCACCGCGGGAAGTAGTTTGGGGGTGCTGCACATTTTTTTGCCTGCGCTGAAGATGTCTATATTGGTCTGCTAATACAGGACTAGTAAAGGCCCCCCAGAGTACCACTTTTGTGAAAACATTTTAACTAAATGTATTTGAGTGTTTACCAGCATTTGTAACCTGTCTGATTATTATCTATACAAAACAGTTAATCTGATAATACTTGTGGAATATAAAAATACTTGCTTGATTGAGTGCGTTCGGAAAGCATTCAGACCCCCAGATCCCTCATCAAGCTACACACAATACCCCATAATGACAACGCGAAAACAGGTTTTTAGACATTTTTGTAAAGTTATTACAAATTACAACAAAAATAGCTTATTTACATAAGTATTCAGACCCTTTGCTATGAGTCTCGAAATTGAGCTCAGGTGCATCCTGTTTCCATTGATCATCCTTGAGATGTTTCTACAACTTGATTGGAGTCCACCTGTGGTAAATTCAATTGATTGGACATGATTTGGAAAGGCACACACCTGTCTATATAAGGTCCCACTTTGGACAGTGCATGTCAGAGCAAAAACCAAGCCATGAGGTTGAAGGAATTGTCCGTAGAGCTCCGAGACAGGATTGTGTCGAAGCACAGATCTGGGGAAGGGTACCAAAACATTTCTGCAGCAATGAAGGTCCCCAAGATCACAGAGGCCATCATTCTTAAATGGAATAAGTTTGGAACCACCAAGACTCTTCCTAGAGCTGGCCGCCCGGCCAATCTGAGCAATCGGGGGAGAAGGGCCTTGGTCAGGGAGGTGACCAAGAACCTGATGGTCACTCTGACAGACTCCAGAGTTCCTCTGTGGAGATGGGAGAACCTCCCAGAAGGACAACCATCTCTGCAGCACTCCACCAATCAGGCCTTTATGGTAGTGGCCAGATGGAAGCCACTCCTCAGTAAAAGGCACATGACAGCCGGCTTGGTTTGCCAAAAGGCAAATGGAGCAAAGTATAGAGAGATCCTTGATGAAAACCTGCTCTAGAGCGCTAAGGACCTCAGACTGGGGCAAAGGTTCACCTTCCAACAGGACAAATACCCTAAGCACACAGCCAAGACAACACAGGAGTGGCTTTGGGACAAGTTTCTGAATGTCCTTGAGTGGCCCAGCCAGAGCCTGGACTTGAACCCGATCTAACATCTTTGGAGAGACCTGAAAATAGCTGTGCAGCGACGCTCCCCATCCGACCTGACAGAGCTTGAGAAGATCTGCAGAGAAGAATGGGAGAAACTCCCCAAATACAGGTGTGCCAAGCTTGTAGCGTCATACTCAAGAAGACTCGAGGCTGTAATCGCTGCCAAAGATGCTTCAACAAAGTACTGAGTAAAGGGTCTGAATACTGATATTTCATTATTATTTTTTGGAAAACATTTCTAAAAACCTGTTTTTGCTTTGTCATTATGGGATATTGTGTGTAGATTGATGATTTAATCAATTTTAGAATAAGGCTGTAAAGTAACAAAATATGGAAAAAGTCAAGGGATCTGAATACACTACGTTTTCCAATTTCTTGAAATACTTTGCAAATGCAACTTATTTCTATGTGAAAACTGAAATGGTCTATTCATTCCTTTTCCATATTAGTAAACGCTCTTATCCAGAGCAACTTCCAGTAGTGAGTGCAAATATTTTCATACTGGTCCCCCGTGGGAATCAAACCCACAACCCTAGCATTGCAAGTGCCATGCTATACCAACTGAGTCACATCATCACACCACCATCACAAACCACTTGATGTCTGAATGTGCTCAATTACTGTATTGTGCATTGTTTTTCTTCATGGTGATAAAGTCTACAGGTACAAACCTAGATGACCAGCCTATGTACAAAACAGTAATGTACATTTACATTAAGTGGTTTTTAAGGATGGTAAATTAATACTACACAAAAAGTGGTTGTTTTCCATGTTATTTGATCAAGAAAAATATTTAATTTGATGTGGATATTTTGTGTCCATAAATTTGCACCTTTTGATGTAAATGTTTGAGGACAGGGTTTCGTTGTTTCTGGATTCCATTAGAATGACAATCACAGAGAAAGGGACAGGGCAACAACTCTTACAATTCCAACAATTGAATCCTGCAAGATACTGTTCTTAATTATACAACTGCCTTTTATGCCAAAGCAGAGATGATGCCAAAGCACTACAGATATCTATCAGTCTGCTAGTAAAGGCCAGTGCACTACTTTCGTGATTAAAAATAAGAAAAAACTAATATTCTGATTTTCAGGGTGTGCTTCAGCACCCAACTTCCCACGGCTATGCCTGTGGGATCATCTGAGACCAGCCACCCAGGCAGCTGATGAAACAGTGGGTTTGCACAACCAAAGAATTTCTGCACAAACTCTCAAAAACCATCTCAAGGAAGCTCATCTGCGTGCTCGTCGTCCTCACCAGGGTCTTGACAGCAGTTTGGTGTCGTAACCGACTTCAGTGGGCAAATGCTCACTTTCGACGGCCACTGGCACGCTGGAGAAGTGTGCTTTTCACAGATGAATCCCGGTTTCAACTGTGCTGGGAAGATACCACACGTGTATGGTGTCGTGTGGATGAGCGTTTTTGCTGATGTGAACAGAGTGCCCCATGGTGGCGACGGGGTTATGGTATGGGCAGGCATAAGCTACAGACAACGAACACAATTGCATTTTATCGATGGCAATTTGAATGCACAGAGATACCGTGACAAGATCCTGAGGCCCATTGTCGTGCCATTCATCCGCCGCCATCACCTCATGTTTCAGCATGATAATGCACGGCCCAACGTCACAACGATCTGTACATAATTCCTGGAAACGGAAAATGTTCTTCCATGGCCTGCATACTCACCAGACATGTCACCCATTGAGCATGTTTGGGATGCTCTGGATCAACGTGTACGACAGCGTATTCCAGTTCCCACTAATATCCAGCAACTTTGCACAGCCATTCAAGAGGGGTGGGACAACATTCCACAGGCCACATTCAACAGCCTGATCAACTCTATGCGAAGGAGATGTGTCACGCTGCTTGAGATGTGGTCACACCAGATACTGACTGGTTTTCTGATCCACGCCCCTACTTTTTTTTTAAAGGTATCTGTGACCAGTCATGTGAAATTCATAGATTAGGGCCTAATTCATTTATTTCAATTGACTGATTTCCTTATATGAACTGTAACTCAGTAAAATCTTTGAAACTGTTGCATGTTGCGTTCATATTTTTGTTCAGTGTACAAGATCAGAGTATTTTTAAATCTACCAATTGGTGCTGAAACGGAGACGAATATGCATATATTTAGATGGCTTTCATTCATTCATCCCTAATATTCTGAAGCCGATATACAGCTGAAGTCGGAAGTTTCCATACACTTAGGTTGGAGTCATTAAAACTCGTTTTTCAACCACTCCACAAATTTCTTGTTAACAAACTATAGTTTTAGCAAGTCGGTTAGGATATCTACTTTGTGCATGACACAAGTAATTTTTCCAACAATTGTTAGTAAATATTTTCTGAACTCATTCTTGAACTGTATTGTTGGTTAAGGGCTTGTAAGTAAGCATTTCACGGTAAGGTCTACACCTGTTGTATTTGGCGAATGTGACAAATAAAATTGGATTTGATTTGATTTGTTAGAGGTGCCTAAAGTTGACAGGGTATGTTCCAAATGGACTTGAGCTTCACTCTTCCGAATCTGAACCACTGTCCTTAAAGTGGGTTTGGTCTCACAGGATGCCATTTCATACATTATTTGTACACCTTCAATTCAATCTGTATCGCGGAAGTTCGGCGCTACAGCGTAATTGAAATTTAAAGGCAATGTTCCCGCGTTAGCGGAGACCGCATTCACAGTAAACGCTGCATACTGTATGTCGGCGCAATCGGAAATTACTTTAAAATTTCAATCACACAATCTGTGATACAGATTAAATCGAGTCCTTAATCCGATCGTGTTTTGTCGGCTATGCACCTTCTAAAGGTAATGTTCCCGCGTTCGCGGTGACCGCATTCACGGCAAACGCCAATCGGAAATTACCTTTATATGCTGCATAGGTTGGCCTTGCAATCAGATTGAATCCTGGTCCTAATTCAAAAAGTCAAATAAAAAAAAGATCACTAAAAAAAGGTTTTAAAATAAGTCAACCAACAGAGAAGAGAACGACAGACAACATAGCCTCTGGTTTTCAGCGCACAAATAGGTTTAATATTTAATCCACACAGATAAAGAGATCAACATATGAGTTACACACTGAACAAGAGGGGGAGGGGCCTTGTGCATGTCTGGAGAGTTACAGAATCCTCAATGACAGCTGTCACTCAAAACAGGTGACCATGCACAAACCTCACTGGCCAAATGTCAGTCTGGGAACAGCGAATCAGAGTAGAGTGGGCGGTTGATGAATCAGTTATGAACCAATCAGCTCACAGCTCGAAGATATGCCTGGCTCTCTCTCTCCTTCCACTATTTGGCACGGTTACATTTCGGTCCCTAGCCTCGTCCCTTACCCCTTTGGTGTTCACAGACCTGAGAGGACTAGATAGGTTTTTACAAAGGCCGAAATAGAACTCAGCCTCTTTACCTGTCCATTTTCTCTACAGGAGAGTTTGGGTTTGATCGACAGTGCAACCGACTGACTGATCTACAAATCACCTTACATCATAAATAACTCCTCATTATTATTTGTAGATCAATCCGTCAGTCACAATTGACCCACATCACATATTCAAACACGGCCAATCTATGTCCATAAGGCTGTCTGGAAACTTGCTTCTAACGTGGAACAATTAAAATCCCAGTTCATCCTCTGATGCCAAAACAAGAGTTTCTCTTCACTCCACTACACCTGATTTACTGGCTCAGTCATCCCCCATGATTTTAACTACATTTGTCTCCCAAACGGCATCCTATTCCCTATATAGTACACTACTATTACAAGGAACCATAGGGCTCTGGTCAAAAGTAGTGCATTATAAAGGGCATTGGGTGCCATTTGGGATGCACCCTGAGTCTGCACACCTCCTGATCAAACTTCACTGTATTTACAGGCCAATGCATTCAAGACTGATCTTGTTTTTTCCCAGTACATTCAACAACGTCTCCTCACCTTCTAACTAACAGCTGGCTGAGGTAAAATCACCCTGAACCAACCAATCAATCAACTGTCAGTCCTCTCGCTCTCTACATTCAACTCACCAATGAGCTGCTAGTTACCGTGTCACTCACTCCGACCAATAGCTGCCCAGCTCTGAATCCCTCTTGACCAATCAGCTGTCTCTGTTTCCAGCGTGGTTCAGTGAGCTGAAAGCTGATTGGAGGAGAGGGTCAGTAAGTCATACCATAAATAGTTTGGGGATTACTGGTTGCTGCAAATCTTGGGTAATTTCTGGAGAGGCGTTATATTACGCAGTATTCTTTAATGTTCCTGTACTTGTGTTGTTGGTAAGATGCAGGTGGGCAAGGCGAGAAAGGGAGGGGTTAGGGGTGATTGTAGGTATCAGGGGGTAGCTTGGGGGCAGATGCAGGCCATTACAAGTCAAAGGTCAATACAGGAGAGATACAGATGTACTTCCAGGGGAAATAAATACAGGTACGTCTGAAATGGCACCCTATTCCCTATATAGTGCATTACTTTTGTCCAGCGCCATATGGGCCCTGATTAAAAGTAATGCACCATATAGGGACTAGGGTGCCATTTAAGACGTACTCCAGGCCTTAGGGAGTAGGTACAGGATAGCGGAGATAGTTAGGAGGCCGGGGTAGTTAAAAGGCTCATGGTGGGGGGGAGATAATTACATTGGTAGAAGCGGCAAGAAACAGGGCGAGGGAGGGAGGGGAAGGGGGTAGTCATAATCAAGGTATTTGGAAAGTTACTGGACTGGGGGAGTGATAATTACAAGGCAATAGGTAGTTACAAGGTCTTTGGGGGGATATCGATAGTTAAAAGGGGTGTAATAGTACGTACAGGGGCTGAGGGGTCGTTCCCAAGCCTAGGGATAGTTACATCATGACCAGGGGTAGATACAGGGGCAGGGAGGAGCGGGGTGGGTAGGGTGGGTTAGTTTTAGGATGGGGGAAGGGGGTGATAATCTGGGCGCAAGAAGGGGGGACAGGGGGACGCAAGGTGACCCTTGAGGGTGGGAGTGTCACTCGGGGACGTAGGACACCTGCCACACGATGATATGGCTCCGCTCGGCTTTGCACACGGCAGGCTTCATCTGCGGGGCGCCCCCCGGCACCTCCCCTTCCTCTGTCTCGTCGTCCTCGCCATCACCTGACACATAGATGAAGTGAGAGAGTCAGTTAGCATGAACATGAACTGTGTCTGTCACCTTTGTACTGAAGTGTTTCTGCACATCCACACATATAAAAGCATTGGATTGGTATTTTAAATCCATAAAGTGAAATGAACAAGGGTAGAGAATCTGGAGACAAGTAGAATTCGATTTGGAATTCAAAAAGAGCACCACATGGACTTGCGTGTATATGGCAGTGTGTGCGTGCATGCGTGAGTGAGTGATTTTCCTCACCGATGCGGAAGTCGATGTAGCCCTCCCCTCCACTCAGCACCAGGACGTTGTGTACACTCTGAGCCTCAGCCTCCGGCTGTGCCGAGGACCCCTGACCCTCTGACGGGCTGTCCAGCACACTACCATTTAGGGTGGCCAACACGTTGCCTGACAGAAAAACAGAAAAACAAAATATTATATATGTATATATATATATATTTTAAACAGGTAATGAGAAACAGATCAGTCACTCAATTGTATTTATAATACCCTTTTTACATCAGCAGTTGTCACATAGTACTAAAGGACCTTACCAATAGATACCCACAAATTAAACACTGTGAACCACTTTTGCATTTTAGTGCCCAGTTGACAACCTGGTCCATCCTCACAGTCCTCAAATACATCAAGTTGAGAGTATTGACAGTAGGTATACTTGTTTAGTTAGTCAATAACTACACATTTGATTTAATGCGTTTAAGGGGATAATAAACTCTATTTACTTTTATTGACTTTATCAAATCAAATCAAATTATGATTACTAACTGACCTGGCACAGAGACAAAGAACTTGACGGCATCTCTGTGTCCATGGAAACAGAGCTGAGCCTGGGCCATGGAGCAGTATGGGATGAAGCTGCCGCTGCTTTTCTCTGGGTTGTCGTCCGCATACACATGAATCACACCCCCAGCCACGCCGCCGGACGACGTTGGAGACACCTTATTGGCTATTGGGATGAGAGTAAAATCAATAGCCAATAAGAACAGCTGACATTTGACAGACCAGCGAATAGGACAAGGACATTGATGCATGAGACCATCCAATCACAATAGCACACACAGAGCAGGCTTGCCAATAAGACCCATCAAATGGGCAGGCTACATCGTTACAGAACATTTAAAATAGAAATGTGTAATATAGAACAGACATCCCTCTGTCATGCAGAATAGGAAACTGTCGGCTGTAACATTTCTACCTGCAATTCTCTGTACGTGGCAACCCACTGAATAAGCCTGTGGTCATCCACTTATGAATTTGCAGATGGTGAAAAATAAGAATCTGAATACTGAAATAGTAGCAATACTAAAACATGCCATCAACATGCAATAATGACGGGACAAGGCATCCCCAAAACCCCATTACCTAATATATTGACTAAGTCGCTGAAATGATCCACATTCATCACACAATAGCATACAAATATGACTCACACATATACATACATTAACACCATACTCGACATATATGTGTGCCAATGCATTATATACAGTACTTTACAACACCTGAAGATAGCATGCAGAGTTACACGTGAACAAAAGTGATTTCCCTGAATCAGATCTAGACCACAGGACCACTGTTTCTGTCCCTGTTGCATTTCGGCCCCTAGAACCTCGTCCCCTTTGTGGTCGACAGATCTGAAATGACTGGATAGGTGGCAGGCAGCCTTATGAAAGAACATGTGCTTGTCCTGTTGGAGGGCTATCTAATCCTCTCAGATCTCCACAAGTGCCATATCCTATAACTTACTCCTGTCCAATCACTATATTACTCACACCTATCCAGTCTATCAGATATGTGAACATTAGGGGAATAAGGGTGGATTGAAACTGAACCAGGCCTACGTTGGAGAGCGATAAAGGCGAGATGGAGGTAAGAAGATGTATGTGACATCATCCCTTTGGGGACAGAGGGAGTCCTAACTTACCCCTCAGACCTAGGAGCTGTCCCCGATGAAGGACTACCGCTAAGGGAGGGAAGGAGGGAGGAGAGGCGAGAAGGAGGAGTGGAGAGAGAGTGAGGAGAGAGGGAGGGAGGAGAGGAGAGAGTTGACAAGAGTGACAATCAAAAGAAAACTATTTCTGATTTTAGGGGTGCTTCAGCACCAACTTCCCACGGCTAGCCTGTGGGATCATCTGAGACCAGCCACCCAGGCAGCTGATGAAACAGTGGGTTTGCACAACCAAAGAATTTCTGCACAAACTCTCAAAAACCATCTCAAGGAAGCTCATCTGCGTGCTCGTCGTCCTCACCAGGGTCTTGACAGCAGTTTGGTGTCGTAACCGACTTCAGTGGGCAAATGCTCACTTTCGACGGCCACTGGCACGCTGGAGAAGTGTGCTTTTCACAGATGAATCCCGGTTTCAACTGTGCTGGGAAGATACCACACGTGTATGGTGTCGTGTGGATGAGCGTTTTGCTGATGTGAACAGAGTGCCCATGGTGGCGACGGGGGTTATGGTATGGGCAGGCATAAGCTACAGACAACGAACACAATTGCATTTTATCGATGGCAATTTGAATGCACAGAGATACGTGACAAGATCCTGAGGCCCATTGTCGTGCCATTCATCCGCCGCCATCACCTCATGTTTCAGCATGATAATGCACGGCCCAACGTCACAACGATCTGTACATAATTCCTGGAAACGGAAAATGTTCTTCCATGGCCTGCATACTCACCAGACATGTCACCCATTGAGCATGTTTGGGATGCTCTGGATCAACGTGTACGACAGCGTATTCCAGTTCCCACTAATATCCAGCAACTTTGCACAGCCATTCAAGAGGGGTGGGACAACATTCCACAGGCCCACATTCAACAGCCTGATCAACTCTATGCGAAGGAGATGTGTCACGCTGCTTGAGATGTGGTCACACCAGATACTGACTGGTTTTCTGATCCACGCCCCTACTTTTTTTTTAAAGGTATCTGTGACCAGTCATGTGAAATTCATAGATTAGGGCCTAATTCATTTATTTCAATTGACTGATTTCCTTATATGAACTGTAACTCAGTAAAATCTTTGAAAACTGTTGCATGTTGCGTTCATATTTTTGTTCAGTGTACAAGATCAGAGTATTTTTAAATCTACCAATTGGTGCTGAAACGGAGACGAATATGCATATATTTAGATGGCTTTCATTCATTCATCCCTAATATTCTGAAGCCGATATACAGCTGAAGTCGGAAGTTTCCATACACTTAGGTTGGAGTCATTAAAACTCGTTTTTCAACCACTCCACAAATTTCTTGTTAACAAACTATAGTTTTAGCAAGTCGGTTAGGATATCTACTTTGTGCATGACACAAGTAATTTTTCCAACAATTGTTAGTAAATATTTTCTGAACTCATTCTTGAACTGTATTGTTGGTTAAGGGCTTGTAAGTAAGCATTTCACGGTAAGGTCTACACCTGTTGTATTTGGCGAATGTGACAAATAAAATTGGATTTGATTTGATTTGTTAGAGGTGCCTAAAGTTGACAGGGTATGTTCCAAATGGACTTGAGCTTCACTCTTCCGAATCTGAACCACTGTCCTTAAAGTGGGTTTGGTCTCACAGGATGCCATTTCATACATTATTTGTACACCTTCAATTCAATCTGTATCGCGGAAGTTCGGCGCTACAGCGTAATTGAAATTTAAAGGCAATGTTCCCGCGTTAGCGGAGACCGCATTCACAGTAAACGCTGCATACTGTATGTCGGCGCAATCGGAAATTACTTTAAAATTTCAATCACACAATCTGTGATACAGATTAAATCGAGTCCTTAATCCGATCGTGTTTTGTCGGCTATGCACCTTCTAAAGGTAATGTTCCCGCGTTCGCGGTGACCGCATTCACGGCAAACGCCAATCGGAAATTACCTTTATATGCTGCATAGGTTGGCCTTGCAATCAGATTGAATCCTGGTCCTAATTCAAAAAGTCAAATAAAAAAAGATCACTAAAAAAAGGTTTTAAAATAAGTCAACCAACAGAGAAGAGAACGACAGACAACATAGCCTCTGGTTTTCAGCGCACAAATAGGTTTAATATTTAATCCACACAGATAAAGAGATCAACATATGAGTTACACACTGAACAAGAGGGGGAGGGGCCTTGTGCATGTCTGGAGAGTTACAGAATCCTCAATGACAGCTGTCACTCAAAACAGGTGACCATGCACAAACCTCACTGGCCAAATGTCAGTCTGGGAACAGCGAATCAGAGTAGAGTGGGCGGTTGATGAATCAGTTATGAACCAATCAGCTCACAGCTCGAAGATATGCCTGGCTCTCTCTCTCCTTCCACTATTTGGCACGGTTACATTTCGGTCCCTAGCCTCGTCCCTTACCCCTTTGGTGTTCACAGACCTGAGAGGACTAGATAGGTTTTTACAAAGGCCGAAATAGAACTCAGCCTCTTTACCTGTCCATTTTCTCTACAGGAGAGTTTGGGTTTGATCGACAGTGCAACCGACTGACTGATCTACAAATCACCTTACATCATAAATAACTCCTCATTATTATTTGTAGATCAATCCGTCAGTCACAATTGACCCACATCACATATTCAAACACGGCCAATCTATGTCCATAAGGCTGTCTGGAAACTTGCTTCTAACGTGGAACAATTAAAATCCCAGTTCATCCTCTGATGCCAAAACAAGAGTTTCTCTTCACTCCACTACACCTGATTTACTGGCTCAGTCATCCCCCATGATTTTAACTACATTTGTCTCCCAAACGGCATCCTATTCCCTATATAGTACACTACTATTACAAGGAACCATAGGGCTCTGGTCAAAAGTAGTGCATTATAAAGGGCATTGGGTGCCATTTGGGATGCACCCTGAGTCTGCACACCTCCTGATCAAACTTCACTGTATTTACAGGCCAATGCATTCAAGACTGATCTTGTTTTTTCCCAGTACATTCAACAACGTCTCCTCACCTTCTAACTAACAGCTGGCTGAGGTAAAATCACCCTGAACCAACCAATCAATCAACTGTCAGTCTCTCGCTCTCTACATTCAACTCACCAATGAGCTGCTAGTTACCGTGTCACTCACTCCGACCAATAGCTGCCCAGCTCTGAATCCCTCTTGACCAATCAGCTGTCTCTGTTTCCAGCGTGGTTCAGTGAGCTGAAAGCTGATTGGAGGAGAGGGTCAGTAAGTCATACCATAAATAGTTTGGGGATTACTGGTTGCTGCAAATCTTGGGTAATTTCTGGAGAGGCGTTATATTACGCAGTATTCTTTAATGTTCCTGTACTTGTGTTGTTGGTAAGATGCAGGTGGGCAAGGCGAGAAAGGGAGGGGTTAGGGGTGATTGTAGGTATCAGGGGGTAGCTTGGGGGCAGATGCAGGCCATTACAAGTCAAAGGTCAATACAGGAGAGATACAGATGTACTTCCAGGGGAAATAAATACAGGTACGTCTGAAATGGCACCCTATTCCCTATATAGTGCATTACTTTTGTCCAGCGCCATATGGGCCCTGATTAAAAGTAATGCACCATATAGGGACTAGGGTGCCATTTAAGACGTACTCCAGGCCTTAGGGAGTAGGTACAGGATAGCGGAGATAGTTAGGAGGCCGGGGTAGTTAAAAGGCTCATGGTGGGGGGGAGATAATTACATTGGTAGAAGCGGCAAGAAACAGGGCGAGGGAGGGAGGGGAAGGGGGTAGTCATAATCAAGGTATTTGGAAAGTTACTGGACTGGGGGAGTGATAATTACAAGGCAATAGGTAGTTACAAGGTCTTTGGGGGGATATCGATAGTTAAAAGGGGTGTAATAGTACGTACAGGGGCTGAGGGGTCGTTCCCAAGCCTAGGGATAGTTACATCATGACCAGGGGTAGATACAGGGGCAGGGAGGAGCGGGGTGGGTAGGGTGGGTTAGTTTTAGGATGGGGGAAGGGGGTGATAATCTGGGCGCAAGAAGGGGGGACAGGGGGACGCAAGGTGACCCTTGAGGGTGGGAGTGTCACTCGGGGACGTAGGACACCTGCCACACGATGATATGGCTCCGCTCGGCTTTGCACACGGCAGGCTTCATCTGCGGGGCGCCCCCCGGCACCTCCCCTTCCTCTGTCTCGTCGTCCTCGCCATCACCTGACACATAGATGAAGTGAGAGAGTCAGTTAGCATGAACATGAACTGTGTCTGTCACCTTTGTACTGAAGTGTTTCTGCACATCCACACATATAAAAGCATTGGATTGGTATTTTAAATCCATAAAGTGAAATGAACAAGGGTAGAGAATCTGGAGACAAGTAGAATTCGATTTGGAATTCAAAAAGAGCACCACATGGACTTGCGTGTATATGGCAGTGTGTGCGTGCATGCGTGAGTGAGTGATTTTCCTCACCGATGCGGAAGTCGATGTAGCCCTCCCCTCCACTCAGCACCAGGACGTTGTGTACACTCTGAGCCTCAGCCTCCGGCTGTGCCGAGGACCCCTGACCCTCTGACGGGCTGTCCAGCACACTACCATTTAGGGTGGCCAACACGTTGCCTGACAGAAAAACAGAAAAACAAAATATTATATATGTATATATATATATATTTTAAACAGGTAATGAGAAACAGATCAGTCACTCAATTGTATTTATAATACCCTTTTTACATCAGCAGTTGTCACATAGTACTAAAGGACCTTACCAATAGATACCCACAAATTAAACACTGTGAACCACTTTTGCATTTTAGTGCCCAGTTGACAACCTGGTCCATCCTCACAGTCCTCAAATACATCAAGTTGAGAGTATTGACAGTAGGTATACTTGTTTAGTTAGTCAATAACTACACATTTGATTTAATGCGTTTAAGGGGATAATAAACTCTATTTACTTTTATTGACTTTATCAAATCAAATCAAATTATGATTACTAACTGACCTGGCACAGAGACAAAGAACTTGACGGCATCTCTGTGTCCATGGAAACAGAGCTGAGCCTGGGCCATGGAGCAGTATGGGATGAAGCTGCCGCTGCTTTTCTCTGGGTTGTCGTCCGCATACACATGAATCACACCCCCAGCCACGCCGCCGGACGACGTTGGAGACACCTTATTGGCTATTGGGATGAGAGTAAAATCAATAGCCAATAAGAACAGCTGACATTTGACAGACCAGCGAATAGGACAAGGACATTGATGCATGAGACCATCCAATCACAATAGCACACACAGAGCAGGCTTGCCAATAAGACCCATCAAATGGGCAGGCTACATCGTTACAGAACATTTAAAATAGAAATGTGTAATATAGAACAGACATCCCTCTGTCATGCAGAATAGGAAACTGTCGGCTGTAACATTTCTACCTGCAATTCTCTGTACGTGGCAACCCACTGAATAAGCCTGTGGTCATCCACTTATGAATTTGCAGATGGTGAAAAATAAGAAATCTGAATACTGAAATAGTAGCAATACTAAAACATGCCATCAACATGCAATAATGACGGGACAAGGCATCCCCAAAACCCCATTACCTAATATATTGACTAAGTCGCTGAAATGATCCACATTCATCACACAAATAGCATACAAATATGACTCACACATATACATACATTAACACCATACTCGACATATATGTGTGCCAATGCATTATATACAGTACTTTACAACACCTGAAGATAGCATGCAGAGTTACACGTGAACAAAAGTGATTTCCCTGAATCAGATCTAGACCACAGGACCACTGTTTCTGTCCCTGTTGCATTTCGGCCCCTAGAACCTCGTCCCCTTTGTGGTCGACAGATCTGAAATGACTGGATAGGTGGCAGGCAGCCTTATGAAAGAACATGTGCTTGTCCTGTTGGAGGGCTATCTAATCCTCTCAGATCTCCACAAGTGCCATATCCTATAACTTACTCCTGTCCAATCACTATATTACTCACACCTATCCAGTCTATCAGATATGTGAACATTAGGGGAATAAGGGTGGATTGAAACTGAACCAGGCCTACGTTGGAGAGCGATAAAGGCGAGATGGAGGTAAGAAGATGTATGTGACATCATCCCTTTGGGACAGAGGGAGTCCTAACTTACCCCTCAGACCTAGGAGCTGTCCCCGATGAAGGACTACCGCTAAGGGAGGGAAGGAGGGAGGAGAGGCGAGAAGGAGGAGTGGAGAGAGTGAGGAGAGAGGGAGGGAGGAGAGGAGAGAGTTGACAAGAGTGACAATCAGGACAGGGAGGACAACTAAAGGGATACCAGCCATAAAATAGATAGAAAAACAAGAGAAGCCATCAAGGAATAAGAGAAGACAGAAAAATAGCCAGACCAATATACACTGAACAAAAATATAAACGTAACATGTAAAGTGTTGGTCCCATGTTTCATGAGGTGAAATAAAAGATCCTAGAAATGTTCCATACGCACAAAAAGCTTATTTCTCTCAAATTTTGTGCACAAATTTGTCTACATCCCTGTTAGTGAGCATTTCTCCTTTGCCAAGATAATCCATCCACCTGACAGGTGTGTCATATCAAGAAGCTAATTAAACAGCATGATCACTACACAGGTGCACCTTGTGCTGGGGACAATACAAACCCACTCTAAAATGAACAGTTTTGTCCCACAACACAATGCCACAGATGTCTCAAGTTTTGAGGGAGCATGCAATTGGCATGCTGACTGCAGGAATGTCCACCATTTAATGTTCATTTCTCTACCATAAGCCACCAACGTCGTTTTAGAGAATTTGGGCGAGCGGTTTGCTGATGTCAACATTGTGAACAGAGTGCCCCGTGGTGGCGGTGGGGTTATGATATAGGCAGGTATAAGCTACGGACAACAAACACAATTGCATTTTATCGCTGGAAATTTAAATGCACAGATATACCGTGACGAGATCCTGAGGCCCATTGTCGTGCCATTCATCCGCCGACATCACCTCATGTTTCAGCATGATAACGCACGGCCCCATGTTGCAAGGATCTGTAGACAATTCCTGGAAGCTGAAAATGCCCCAGTTCTTCCATGGCCTGCATGCTCACCAGACGTGACACATTTAGTATGTTTGGGATGCTCTGAATCGACGTGTACGACAGCGTGTTCCAGTTCCCGTCAATATCCAGCAACTTCGCACAGCCATTGAAGAGGAGTGGGACAATATTCCACAGGCCACAAATCAACAGTCTGATCAACTCTATGAGAAGGAGATGTCTCGCGCTGTATGAGGCAAATAGTGGTCACACCAGATTCTGACCCATGCCCCTACTTTGATTTTTAAGGTATCTGTGACCAACAGATGCATATCTGTATTCCCAGTCATGTGAAATCCATAGATTAGGGCCTAATTAATTTATTTCAATTGACTGATTTCCTTATATGAACTGTAACTCAGTAAAACCTTTGAAATTGTTGCATTTATATTTTTGTTCAGTATAGAAAGGGAAACTAAAATACAGAAGCAGACAAAAACACAGAATAGTGGAATCAAAGAGGTAGGGTTAAAGCGCGTGTGCGCGCCACTCAAACTCACTCTCTGTCAGTGGTATGGAGATGACCACACCATTCCCAGTCCCCACCCACAGGCGGTTTCCACCAATCAGAAGGGCTGTTATTCGCACAAAGGAGAAGCCCAGCTTGCCAGTACCTGTCAATCAGAGCGAGAGAGAGAACACATACATTGGATGCATCTCAATAGACTAAAGTGGGGTCAAATAATATGGTGTCCTATCAATGAGTTGGCCGAAGCTTAGCCTGCTGGTCCCAGATCTGATCTGTTTGGGCTGTCTTGGAAACTCCTATAGTCATTGTCTTGATATGACAACAAACATAGAAATTGGCTATACAACACAAACAGATCTTGGACCACCAGCCTAGCCAGAGCTGGATAGCATGGTTGGGGTCAATTCCATTTCAATTCAGTCAATTCAGGAAGTAAACTGTAATTCCAATTCCACCTCTTTCTCTTAGAGGAAAACTGGAATTGGAATTTTTGTTTACTTTCTGAATTGACTGAATTAAAATGGAAATTGACTCCATTCCTGCTGTTTAGCTTAGGTTCTTCCTACCCAGCATCTTGCTGACGTAGGGTTCGATGTCGACATCCTGTAGGTGCTGGTGTGTGAGGGCATGGTAGAGACGCAGCGTGGAGTCCAGACGGATTGACACCCACACCCCATCCCCGATCCACGCCAGCTGCCTCACCTGGCTCTCCCTGCGAGGGTGGGCGTCAAAGGACTTCTGACGGGGGAGAGTGGGTAGGGGGGTGAAGGGTGGAGAAGGTAGGATTGGTTGATTGATTTACATTGATTTATTTCAGAATATTATCAATGTGGAGCGACATTACATGACCTCTCCCCAACATTGTTTTACATTTGAGTCATTTAGCAGACGCTCTTATCCAGAGTGACTTACAGTTAGTGAGTGCATACATTTTCATACTGGCCCCCCGCGGGAAACGAACCCACAACCCTGGCGTTGCAAGCGCCATGCTCTACCAACTGAGCTACATAACTGCAGATAGACTCAAGACTGTGTTAGCCCACTGTGCTAATGTCTTGACATTGTGTCTGGGAGCTAACGTGAGTCTCCAGGTCTCAGAAAAGGTTACTTTGCAACTTCCTCTACTATACAAACAGTCCCTCCCCTCCTGTGACCCACCTCTATCTGCATGCTCTTGGGCTGGATGACGTGGATCTTGTTCTTGTAGCCACACCACACCTTGTCATGGACCATGGCCATGCAGCGGATAGAGTGGTGCGGTCTACCCAGGTCCATCAGGTGGTAGTTAGACAGGTCCCACTGCCCACCTGGAGATACAGAGATACACCACACACACATAAACAAATGATGTAAAGCTTTAAATCATGATTAGAAAAAGTAAATTTGCTATGTTGCTCTCATGGAATGTCATTTTTTGAGCACAACAAACAGTTAATGGTTAAGGCTCATAAGTGAGAGCTCAGAAGAACTAGGTAGGTTAGGGTTAAGTTTACGTTACCCTCAGATCTGTGGAAGATAGCCAGTGTCCCGTCTGCCAGAGCCACCAGCACACGACCCTTCACATGCCTGAAACAGAGACAATCAAGCCAACGTTATACAAAGCAACATGCACCCATTTACTACAACATCAATCAAGGACTGGTAAAAATGGCCATTCTAAAAGCAGACAGTGGTCAGTAGTGGGGGACTTACACTAGACTGAGCACAGAGTCCTTCAGTTTGATGGAGTGGAGACACTTCTTCCAGTTGGCCACGGCCGAATGGACGTAAAGCCTAGAGAAAGGATGTTACGGTTAGGTAGGACATAGATAGAGACAGGGTTTTATGGGTTAGGGTTATGGGTTATGGGTTGGGAGACATATGCAGGCAAAACTGTTTGGCGAAAAAATCATTATGATGTTTTTTGTGACATCGTGGTCAAGAGTTGTAAAATGATTTTTTTTCACCTTTTTAGAAAACCAGAAAACAACCAGAAAACAACATCACTATGATGTCCCGTATTACATTCCCGCCGCTAGCTAGGTATTTAGTGTTTAGTTACCCACCAGCCATTTTGTGCTCCCAGCCACATGGTGGGGGCGACGCTGGTGCCAGCTTTGGGGTCGTCGCTTCCATCCTCCGTCTCCTGGGGTGGGGAGTTAGACTCCTCTTTCGACTGGCCTGCACACCTGACAGGGGACACAAACAGAGACTTGTCTTGAAGTCCACTAGAGACTACCACAGTCCACACGGTGGCAAATCCAACTACTGTAGCATGTCGTCAGAAATTTTGAGAGATGACTAAACGATTTAAATAGTAGAGGTTAGACTAAATCTAAATCAAATCAAACTTTAGTGCATGTAAATACACCTTCTTTCAAAGTTTCAATGACAACCTTTCAAAAATGTACTGGCAATATTCCCTCTCTTTACAACTACTAGCAATTAAAATCTGGTCAAATCGTGTGTCTTACCGGTCGTATTGGCCAGCATCAACCACTGGAGGCTGGGGGTCTGTGAAGACGTGCTCCATGAAGGGCCCTGGAGGTCCCAAGGTGTCGTCTGTCTCGTTGGCGGCCGGCTCAGCCACCTCTGTAGCCTCTGTGGCCTCCTCTGCTGACTGGGCTGGGTGCAGCTTCCCACTGAGTGGTGGAGCCATGGGGGCTGAGGCGACAGGGACACAGGGAGAGACATTATACCCTATATACTACTATAACTATACCAACTATACCTATTAACTAGAGATGGGCACTAATATGGAAAGTCCCTATCGATATCAGTTGAAATTTGTTTTATTTACTATCGATATCATATTGGAATTTTAAAAACATGTGAAGGCCTATTAACTATACTTATAACTCTTCAACTGACTGGGCTGGGTGCAGCTTCCCACTGACAGGGGCTGGGGGGGGGGACAGGGTCACAGGGAGAGACATTTCAGCACTTGGTGTCAACTTTGAAAGTGCCACAATTAAAGCCTATATTTTTTCATTGCAAGCTTGATGATACATACACAGTGTAATGTACAGTGTCTTCAGAAAGTATTCACACCCCTTTGTTAAGGCAAGCCTAAATATGTTCATGAGTAACTTGCTTAACAAGTCACACAATAAGTTGCATGGACTCACTCTGTGTGCAATAATAGTGTATAACATGATTTTTTTATGACTACCTCATCTCCCCACACATACAATTACAATCTGTGAGGTCCCTCAGTCGAGCATTGAATCTCAAACAAAGACCAGGGAGGTTTTCCAAAGCACCTATTGGTAGATTTAAAAAAATTAAATAAAAAGCAGACATTGAATATCCCTTTGAACATGGTGAAGTTATTAATTAAAATACACCCAGTCACTACAAAGGCGTCCTTCCTAACTCAGTTGCCGGAGAGGAAGGAAACCGCTCAGGGATTTCACCATGAAGCCAATGTAAGTCGCTCTGGATAAGAGCGTCTACTAAATTATGTAAATGTCACTTTAAAACAGTTAGAGTTTAATGGCAATGATAGGAGAAAACTGAGGATGGATCAACCACATTGTCGTTACTCCAGAATACTAACCTAATTGACAGAGGAAAAATAAGTAAGCCTGTACAGCAGGGATCATCAACTAGATTCAGCCGTGGGCCGATTTTTTCTTGAGTGGATGGTCAGGGGGCCGGAACATAATTATGAATAATTTGTAGACTGCAAATTGACCGCAAAAAACCCAAACAGATATCGCTGATAAAGGATCTTCTACAAAGTATTGACCCATGGGTGTGAATACTTATGTAAATGAGATATTTCTGTATTTCATTTTCAATTAATTTGCTAACATTTCTAAAAACATGTTTTCACTTTGTCATTATGGGTTATTGTGTGTAGATGGGTGAGAACAAAAATCTATTTAATCCTTTTTGAATTCAGGCTGTAACACAACAAAATGTGGAATAAGTCAAGGGATATGAATACTTTCTGAAGGCACTGTAGATAAATATCTGAGTTTCTCACCTTGTCCCCGGTCCAGTATGGGTGTGTCGGTGCGCGAGGAGCAGTTGCTGCGGACCACGCTACAGTTGGTGGCACAGCCCACCAGGGTGATGCCTGCTAGCATGCCCTCCACCCCGCCTGTCTCCTCACCACCACCACCCTCCCCAGAGTCCAGCACGATCTCACCCGCCGGGTAGTCACTCTCACTGGCCGCTGCAGACAGACACACAGAAACGCACACATAGACACGCACATATGCAAACACAGAAAAACACAAACGTTAGAGGTGATTCTAGTTCAGTAGATGTGGAATTACAGTGCATTCGGAAAGTATTCAGACCCTTTCCGTTTTTCCATATTTTGTTACGCTAGAGCCTTATTCACACAATACCACATAATGACAAAGCGAAAACAGAAATACCTTATTTACATAAGTATTCAGACCCTTTGCTATGAGACTCGAAATTGAGCTCAGGTGCATCCTGTTTCCATTGATCATCCTTGAGATGTTTCTACAACTTGATTGGAGTCCACCTGTTGTAAATTCAATTGATTGGACATGATTTGGAAAGGCACACACCTGTCTATGTAAGGTCCCACAGTTGACAGTGCATGTCAGAGCAAAAAACAAGCCATGAGGTCGAAGGAATTGTCCTTAGAGTTCAGAGACAGGATTGTGTCGAGGCACAGATCTGGGGAAGGGTACCAAAACATTTCTGCAGCATTGAAGGTTCCCACGAACACAGTGGCCTCCATCATTCTTAAATGGAAGAAGTTTGGAACCACCAAGACTTTTCCTAGAGCTGGCCGCCCGGCCAAACTGAGCAATCGGGGGAGAAGGGCCTTGGTCAGGGAGGTGACCAAGAACCTGATGGTCACTATGACAGAGCTTCAGAGTTCCTCTGTGGAGAAATAACTCTCAGACCATGAGAAACAAGATTATCTGGTCTGATGAAACCAAGATTGAACTCTTTGGCCTGAATGTGTGGAGGAAACCTGGCACCATCCCTACGGTGATGCATGGTGGTGGCAGCATCATGCGGTGTGAATGTTTTTTAGCGGCAGGGACTGGGACTAGTTAGGCTCGAGGGAAAGATGAACGGAGCAAAGTACAGAGAGATCCTTGATGAAAACCTGCTCCAGAGCGCCCAGGACCTCAGACTGGAACGAAGGTTCACCTTCCAACAGGACAACGACCCTAAGCACACAGCCAAAACAACGCAGGAGTGGCTTCAGGACAAGTTTCTGAATGTCCTTGGGTGGCCCAGCCAGAGCCCGGACTTGAACCCGATCAAACATCTCTGGAGAGACCTGAAAAAAGCTGTGCAGCGACGCTACCCATCCAACCTGACAGAGCTTGAGAGGACCTGCAGAGAAGAATGGGAGAAACTCCCCAAATACAGGTGTGCCAAGCTTGTAGCGTCATACCCACGAAGACTCGAGGCTGTAATTGCTGCCAAAGGTGCTTCAACAAAGTACTGAGTAAAGGGTCTGAAAACGTGTGTAAAAATGTCTAATGTCTAAAAACCTGTTTTTGCTTTGTCATTATGGAGTAATGTGTGTAGATTGATGAGGGACAAAAACTATTTAATCAATTTTAGAATAAGGCTGTAATGTAACAAAATGTGGAAAAGTCAAGTGCTCTGAATACATTCCGAATATTATGTTGATTTGATCTGAATACTATGATCATGTTATGGTAGTAGATTTGGTTCAGGTGGAGAGTGCTATATGGTCGTGTTGCATTAATAGATAGGGTGTAGGATAGGTGGTCGTTAGTCATGTTATTATAGCAGTAGATTACTAAGTGGTCAAATTGCAGTAGATTTGGTCCAGATGGTGAGTGCTACTGTATGTGGTCATGTTGTGGTAGTAGATCTGGTTGTGTTATTATGGTAGTAGGGTGCTAAATTGTCAAGTTGCGGTAGACCTGGCACGCTGGAGATGCAGAGAACGTGGGGTCTGGGTGGTCAGTAACTGTGTTATGGTAGTTGAATACTATGGTCATGTTGCGGTAGATTTGATCCAGGTGGGGAATGCTACTTTATGTGGTCGTGTTATGGTTTGACCGCTAACCTGGCACGCTGGAGATGCAGAGCACGTGGGCATTGCAGACGTAGAACTGGTCGACCAACGAGCCGGGCTGGTTGGCATCAATGATGACCACCTTGATGATGATAATGATAATAATGTTTTTTCATTATTTTTCAAATTGTACAAACGGCAGCAACAAGCTGAAATACAACTTACAATGAAATTATTAGATTCAAAAAAGTATTATTTAACACCTTGCTGGCCGAGTGGGTACTGGTCAGGATCCAGACTCTGCTGCTCATAGTGTCTGTTTCATGGAGCTCCTTAGACTGGGGGAAGGAAAGGGGGAGGGACAGAGAAAGGAGGGAGAGGTGGGGGAGAGAAACGGAAGAAGTGGCAATAAGTATATTTTCAAACTAAAACAAATAGCTAAATTAACTAACAAACCATATAGATCAAGAGATAGAAATCCAGACAGTACCTGTCTCTTCTCTGGTGAGCTGTGGCTGCTCTTGCCGTCTCCTCCCTCTCCCTCCTCTATGGCTAGAGGATTCTTAACCCCGTTGCCGGGGGCAGCCTTTACTATCATCACTTCCTGAGTGCACGTCTTCCATCCCGTCAGGTCCACGCCCGCCGCACACCACAACTACACAGAGTTTGTTTACACACATCGTTAACATTGGAGTAAAACAACTTTTTGGTTATGATTTATAAGCATTTGAAGCATTTATAAGTAATACTCTTCAAGAATCAATGGGTATATATATATATATATATATATATATAATGAATTAACATGACGATTGATTGAACAGCGGTAAATATTGCAGATTGTGGCTTTAACCAAGTACATCTTTGTTTGTTTGTTTACCTTCCTGTTGGGGTCCTTCTCCACTAGGGGGCGACAGTAGACAGGAACAGGGACATTCTTCATGCGGATGTCCTCCTTCTCATTGGCCTGGGAGAAGACAGACAGACAAAGCCTCCAATCACAAAACTGCTCCAAGACCTCCAATTGAAGTCCCACTACCACTCAATTCAATCAAACCCACATTGCTGTATTCATATAGCCGTATAACCACACTTTTGACATTTCTGATGTCTCTTGGGGAAGAGGTTTGAGGTTGGAGGTAGGTTGATTTAGCAGAGGGACAGTGTCAGCAAGTTGTGGGGTGTCTGTTAACATGACTGAGGGACAGGGGCATTGTGTCAATAACTTATGTCAGATTGTGTGGTGTCTGTTGATGTGTGTCTCCTTGGGGACAGGGTTTTGGGGTTAGAGGGAGGTGTTGTGTCAGACTGTGTGGCATCTGTTGATGTGTGTTGGGTTAGAGGTAAGTGTCATGTGTATTGTGGGGACAGAGCTTTTGGGTTTTAGGTAGATATTCTATCAGTAGGTTGAGTGGCGTCTGTTCACATGCATGAGGGACAGGGTCATTGCGTCAGTTAGCTGTATCAGACTGTGTGGTGTCTGTTGATGTGTGTCTTGGGACAAGGCTTAAGGGGCTGAAAGACGTACTCCAGCTATTCTTTTACTTTTCCTGCTGAAAAACAATATCCCTAGTCTTAATACAGTAATATACATTTTTACATTTTAGTCATTTAGCAGACGCTCTTATCCAGAGCGACTTACAGTTAGTGAGTGCATACCCCCCGTGGGAATCGAACCCACAACCCTGGCGTTGCAAACGCCATGCTCTACCAACTGAGCTACATCCCTGCCGGCCATTCCCTCCCCTACCCTGGACGACGCTGGGCCAATTGTACGCCGCCCCATGGGTCTCCCAGTCGCGGCCGGCTACGACAGAGCCTGGATTCGAACCAGGATCTCTAGTGGCACAGCTAGTACTGCGATGCAGTGCCTTAGACCACACACTTAAGGTAACAAAAATATGTTTTGAGCAAAAAAAAGGGCAAACTTCATGTAGTGGGCCATTTAAGAAGTTGGTCTGATTTGTATTTGTATTTGTATTTATTAAGGATCCCTGCCAAGGCAGCAGCTACTCTTCCTTGGGTCCTGCAACATTAAAGCAGTTATATACAATTTAAAATATTACATGACATTATATTTCATAACACTTAACCCAATACATTTAGTGTGTTCCCTCAGGCCACTACTCCACTATAACATATTTACAATACAACATCCATGTGTACGTGTGTGTAGAGTGAGTATGTGTGTATGTGCCTGTGTGTGTGTCTCTTCACAGTCCCCGCTGTTCCACAAGGTGTATTTTTACCTGTTTTTTTTTAAAATCTGATTCTACTGCTTGCATCAGTTACCTGATATGGAATAGAGTTCCATGTAGTCATGGCTCTATGTAGTACTGTGCGCCTCCCATAGTCTGTTCTGGACTTGGGGACTGTGAAGAGACCTCTGGTGGCATGTCTTGTGGGGTATGCATGGGTGTCCGAGCTGTGTGCCAGTATTCCAAAAGACAGCTCTCTACATTCAGCTCGTCGTCAACACCTCTCACAAAAACAAGCAGTGATGAAGTCAATCTCTCTTCCACTCTGAGCCAGGAGAGACTGACATGCATGTCATCAATGTTAGCTCTCCGTGTACTTTTAAAGGGCCAGCCGTGCTGCCCTGTTCTGAGCCAACTGCAATTTTCCCAAGTCCCTCTTTGTGGCACCTGACCACACTACTGAACAGTAGTCTAGGTGCGACAAAACTAGGGCCTGTAGGACCTGCCTTGTTGATAGTGTTGTTAAGAAGGCAGAGCAGCGCTTAATTATGGACATACTTCTCCCCATTTTAGCTACTGTTGTATCAATATGCTTTGACCATGACAGGCTACAATCCAGGGTTACTCCTAGCAGTTTAGTCACCTCAACTCGCTCAATTTCCACATTATTCATTACGAGATGTAGTTGAGGTTTAGGGTTTAGTGAATGATTTGACCCAAATACAATGGAAATATTCAGGACTAACTTATTCCTTGCCACCCATTCCAAAACTAATTGCAACTCTTTCTTAAGTGTTGCAGTTATTTCAGTTGCTGTAGTAGCTGATGTGTATAGTGTTGAGTCAACCGCATACATAGACACACTGGCCATACTCAAAGCCAGTGGCATGTCGTTTGTAAAGATGGAAAAAAGCAAGGGGCCTAGACAGCTGCCCTGGGGAATTCCTGATTCTTCCTGGATTATGTTTGAGAGGCTTCCATTAAAGAACACCCTCTGTGTTCTGTTAGACAAGTAACTCTTTATCCACATTATAGCAGGGGGTGTAAAGCCATAACACATATGTTTTTCCAGCAGCAGACTATGATCGATAATGTCAAAAGCCGCACTGAAGTCTAACAAAACAGCCCCCACAATCTTTTTATCATCAAGTTCTCTCAGCCAATCATTTGTGTAAGTGCTGTGCTTGTTGAATGTCCTTTTCTATAAGCATGATGGTGCCCTCTGATGTCACCGGCCTCCCTCTTGCTTGCGGGAACAATAAACTTCCGCCGTACCTAACGTCATTAATAAACTTTAGATGTACGAATGACCAAACCCTGTCTCAGGGATGGCTAACTATTGAGATCCCTTCAGTCTCCACATAGCTGGTTAAATCTGCATTTGGTTTCTTTGCACCCCATATATGGAACAATCTACAGAGCTCCCTGCAACTAGATGTACTGGTGCCTCTCGGGCAGTTCAAATAGTTGATTGTGGGGACCTCTATGCTGAGGAATGTGATTGTTTCGCTTGAGTATGTTTTGTAATTTTGTATTTGTATTATGTTGTATTTATAAATTGTGTATATGCAGGGCTCCCTTGTATGAGAGACCTACATCTCAATGGGACTCCTGCTAAAAAATAAAGGTGAAATAAAAATAGAGAACAAAAGAGGAAAGCCCCCCCCCCACTTGTGCCATGTCATGAGGATACCTGGACCACTGATAAATAAGGTGAAAAGGAGACTGTGACTTTAACAGTAGGTGTTGTGTCAGACTGTGGTGTCTGTTGATGTGTCTTGTGACGGGTCTTTGGGGTAACTAAGAGCGGCTCATGCTAGGTTAGGGAGGGACTCTGTGGGTGTAACTTACCTGTTGTTTCTTCAGCGGGCCTTCCAGTGCACTGTCCAGCTGAGCACCAGTCTATGGGAGAAATAGAGTAAGAGAGACCACCCTATATGCTGTATTGTGAGTGCTACATGGATGGCATTTTTATTTATATAGATATTTTTTAATTTAGGGGGTAGATCAGCTTTAATATTGCAGATAGATTGTAGCTTCCATCAATGTAATTGTCTGCATCATTTCCAATCCCCCATATATACAGTGGGGAGAACAAGTATTTGATACACTGCCGATTTTGCAGGTTTTCCTACTTACAAAGCATGTAGAGGTCTGTAATTTTTTATCATAGGTACACTTCAATTGTGAGAGACGGAATCTAAAACAAAAATTCAGAAAATCACATTGTATGATTTTTAAGTAATTAATTTGCATTTTATTGCATGACATAAGTATTTGATCACCTACCAACCAGTAATAATTCCGGCTCTCACAGACCTGTTGGTTTTTCTTTAAGAAGCCCTCCTGTTCTCCACTCATTACCTGTATTAACTGCACCTGTTTGAACTCGTTACCTGTATAAAAGACACCTGTCCACACACTCAATCAAACAGACTCCAACCTCTCCACAATGGCCAAGACCAGAGAGCTGTGTAAGGACATCAGGGATAAAATTGTAGACCTGCACAAGGCTGGGATGGGCTACAGGACAATAGGCAAGCGGCTTGGTGAGAAGGTGCAATTATTAGAAAATGGAAGAAGTTCAAGATGACGGTCAATCACCCTCGGTCTGGGGCTCCATGCAAGATCTCACCTCGTGGGGCATCAATGATCATGAGGAAGGTGAGGGATCAGCCGAGAACTACACGGCAGGACCTGGTCAATGACCTGAATAGAGCTGGGACCAAAGTCTCAAAGAAAACCATTAGTAACACACTACGCCGTCATGGATTAAAATCCTGCAGCGCACGCAAGGTCCCCCTGCTCAAGCCAGCGCATGTCCAGGCCCGTCTGAAGTTTGCCAATGACCATCTGGATGATCCAGAGGAGGAATGGGAGAAGGTCATGTGGTCTGATGAGACAAAAATAGAGCTTTTTGGTCTAAACTCCACTCGCCGTGTTTGGAGGAAGAAGAAGGATGAGTACAACCCCAAGAACACCATCCCAACCGTGAAGCATGGTGGTGGAAACATCATTCTTTGGGGATGCTTTTCTGCAAAGGGGACAGGACGACTGCACCGTATTGAGGGGAGGATGGATGGGGCCATGTATCGCGAGATCTTGGCCAACAACCTCCTTCCCTCAGTAAGAGCATTGAAGATGGGTCGTGGCTGGGTCTTCCAGCATGACAACGACCTGAAACACATAGCCAGGGCAACTAAGGAGTGGCTCCGTAAGTACCATCTCAAGGTCCTGGAGTGGCCTAGCCAGTCTCCAGACCTGAACCCAATAGAAAATCTTTGGAGGGAGCTGAAAGTCTGTATTGCCCAGCGACAGCCCCGAAACTTGAATGATCTGGAGAAGGTCTGTATGGAGGAGTGGGCCAAAATCCCGGCTGCAGTGTGTGCAAACCTGGTCAAGACCTACAGGAAACGTATGATCTCTGTAATTGCAAACAAAGGTTTCTGTACCAAATATTAAGTTCTGCTTTTCTGATGTATCAAATACTTATGTCATGCAATAAAATGCAAATTAATTACTTAAAAATCATACAATGTGATTTTCTGGATTTTTGTTTTAGATTCCGTCTTTCACAGTTGAAGTGTACCTATGATAAAAAAATTACAGACCTCTACATGCTTTGTAAGTAGGAAAACCTGCAAAATCGGCAGTGTATCAAATACTTGTTCTCCCCACTGTATATATATATTTTTTTAAAAATATATATATTTTTTCCTTTATTATTTTACCCTAACCCTACCACCCCTCCCCAAATTGGAGTAAACAAATGGACAACAACACTTAGGCTTCTACTTCCTGCTTACAGTGAATTCGGAAAGTATTCAGACCCCTTCACTTTTTCCACATTTTGTTACGTTACAGCCTTATTCTAAAATTGATTCAATATTTATTTTTTTCATTAATCTACACACAATACCCCATAATGACAAAGCAAAAACAGGTTTTTAGAATTTTTGCCAAATGTATAAATAAAAAACGGAAATATGACATTTACATAAGTATTCAGACCCTTTACTCAGTACTTTGTTGAAGCACCTTTGGCAGCGATTACAGCCTCGATTCTTCTTGAGTATGACGCTACAAGCTTGGCACACCTGTATTTGGGGAGTTTCTCCCATTCTTCTCTGCGGATCCTCTCAAGCTCTGTCAGGTTGGATGGGGAGCATCGCTGCACAGCTATTTTCAGGTCTCTCCAGAGATGTTCGATCGGGTTCAAGTCCGGGCTCTGGCTGGGCCACTCAAGAACATTCAGAGACTTATCTCGAAGCAACTCCTGCATTGTCTTGGCTGTGTGCTTAGGGTCGTTGTCCTGTTGGAAGGTGAACCTTCGCCCAAGTCTGAGGACCTGAGTGCTCTGGAGCAGGTTTTCATCAAGGATCTCTCTGTACTTTTCTCTGTTCATCTTTCCCTCGATCCTGACTAGTCTCCCAGTCCCTGCCGCGGAAAAACATCCCCACAGCATGATGCTGCCACCACCATGCTTCACCGTAGGGATGGTATTGGCCAGGTGATGAGCGGTGCCTGGTTTTCTCCAGACGTGACGCTTGGCATTCAGGCCAAAGTGTTTAATCTTGGTTTCATCAGACCAGAGAATCTTGTTTCTCATGGTCTGAGAGTCCTTTAGGTGCCTTTTGGCAAAATCCAAGCAGGCTATAACGTGCCTTTTATTGAGGAGTCGCTTCTGTCTGGCCACTCTACTATAAAGGCCTGATTGGTAGAGTGCTGCAGAGATGGTTGTCCTTCTGGAAGGTTCTCCCATCTCCACAGAGGAACTCTGGAGCTCTGTCAGAGTGACCATTGTGTTCTTGGTCACCTCCCTGACCAAGCCCTTCCTCCCCCGATTGCTCAGTTCGGCCGGGCGGCCAGCTCTAGGAAGAGTCTTGGTGGATCCAAACTTCTTCCATTTAAGAATGATGTAGGCCACTGTGTTCTTGGGGACCTTCATTGCTGCATTTTTTGGTACCCTTCCGTAGATCTGTGCCTCGACACAATCCTGAGCTCAATTTCGAGTCTCATAGCAAAGGGTCTGAATACTTCTGTAAATAAGGTATTTCCGGGTTTTTATAAATTTGTATTTTACAATAGTTATTTGTTTGTTTTTAATCCCATCCTTCAGCTACCCTCAACCCCTCCCATCTATCTCTGAAGACCATCCAGTTTGATTTCTATTCGCCATATATTTTTAACTGTGCTGTTTCACAAAAGTTCTGAACCTACAGTATATACATTTTACGGACAAAGTATATTTTACAATAGTTATCTTGTTGTTTTTAGTCCCACCCTTCAGCTCCACTCAACCCCTCCCATCTATCTCTTAACACCATCCATTTTTTATTTCTATTTGCCATATATTTTTCAACTGTGCTGTTTCACAGAAGTTCTGAACCTTTCTTCTACATCTGCATTGCTTGCTGTTTGAGGTTTTAGGATGGGTTTCTGTACAGCACTTTGTGACATCTGCTGATGTAAAAAGGGCTTTATAAATACATTTGATTGATTGATCATAGTTTCTACAGATTGTAAATTAAAGAAACATTTTTGCTAAAAGTATTATTAAATTATTGATCGATTGACTATGACTTTTCAAATCACCCAGCAGTGCTATTTGCAGAGTTAGCTCCAGGTAAATGTTGCAATTCTTCAGCCATTCCTGGACCTGCAACCAAAAACAAGCTACATATGGACATTACCAAAACAAATGATCTAATGATTCTGTCTCTTCGCAGCAAAACCTGCAGAGCTGGGATGGCATGGATGGCATTTTATTTGGACGCTGAATGCTTGCTAAACACTCCGGCCGGACAGACGGACAGGTGGGTGAGAGACGATACCTGTTTGAAGCGTGGCGGTACGCTCCAGCCGCAGGCCTGCATAATGCCGTCATCGCGGCGCATGTGCTCTCGGACCTGCCGGTACTGTTCCCGGCGCTGCTCACGACGAGCCGACAGCGCAGAGTCGCTGAGGAGAGACGCAACACCATTACTGGCCAGTCTAGAACAGAGGGAGGAGGGAAAGAAAGAAAGGCGGAGAGAGAGAGAGAGAGGCGGAGAGAGAGAAGCGAAGCGTTAGCAAGCGCGGCAGGCTGCTGCAAAGAAAGAGAGAAGCTACAGCAGCATTGTGTGTTTTTAAGCAGTTAAGCTACAGCCAGCTAAACAGCCATGAGAAAATGAATGGAAAACAAAAGAACACACCAATAGACAGGAGTAGAGCGCAAAATAAAAAGCAATCACAATATGTGATCTGCACTCAGCACTAATCACTAAGAACAATGCACAAAGCAGTACTTTGAACTAGCAACCATTCTTACATCCTTTTGCACTTTAACATGATGGCACAAGCAAGAACACTACTAACTCATTCAAAATATGATGGGAGGGAAAGTTTTTCTGCCTATCATATCCCTCAAAAATATGGGGAAATATTATATCACACATACACATACAGTAGGATTACACTTACGACAGTGCAACCCCAAACTCTCCCCTACACATGCATAGACAACTAACTCTACAATGTTAGAGGGTGGACAAGGGAGGGATTGGAGGGAGGAAGGGATGGAGGGATGGAGAGATAAGAGGGAGGGAGGGAGGGAGGGAGGGAGGGAGGAGGAGGGAGGGAGGGAGAGATAAGAGGGAGGGAGGGAGGGAGGGAGGGAGGGAGGGAGGGAGGGAGGGAGGGAGGGAGGGAGGGAGGGAGGGAGGGAGGGAGGGACAGAGATGGAGGGCGATCAGAGGGAGAGAGGGCTGGAGGGATGGAGGGAGGGACAGAGATGGAGGGCGATCAGAGGGAGAGAGGGGTGGAGGGATAGAGGGATGGGAAGGAAGGAGGGACAGAGATGGAGGGCGATCAGAGGGAGAGAGGGCTGGAGGGATAGAGGGATGGGAAGGAGAGAGGGACAGAGATGGAGGGCGATCAGAGGGAGAGAGGGCTGGAGGGATAGAGGGATGGGAAGGAGGGAGGGACAGAGATGGAGGGCGATCAGAGGGAGAGAGGGGTGGAGGGATAGAGGGATGGGAAGGAGGGAGGGACAGAGATGGAGGGCGATCAGAGGGAGAGAGGGCTGGAGGGATAGAGGGATGGGAAGGAGGGAGGGACAGAGATGGAGGGCGATCAGAGGGAGAGAGGGGTGGAGGGATAGAGGGATGAAGGTATGGACGGCGACAGGGAGGGAAGAATGTAAATAAAAAAGGTTGGTGTGTGTTTTTCTCTCACTCTTCTGGGAAGAACTCCAGGGTTCGGTTTGAGGTGGAGATCTGACACATGGTGTGGCTGCGTCTCTGGGGGAAGCCTGCAGGGGACGGGGACTTGTAGTGGATGTTGACGCTGTAGTACGGACGCTTGACTGGTGGAGGACTGGCCGAGGAACTGAACAGACGGGCGAAACTGGAAGGAGAGAAAAGAGAGCGGGAGATACAGTCAGAAAGTTTAGTAACGATTTCATTAACTGTACATTACAAAGCATACAGTACACAGTCTTAAGGCGTCCGCATGCTTCCCAGCCGAAACAGTTCGGAAGAGTTCGTGCACATATTATGACGACATTTTGTGACGTTTTTGATCGTTTTGGACTTCGCCCCTTCGTCGTGATTGGTCAACAGTAGGGATTCTTCTATAAAGTCTTTGTTGTCATTTAACGAGAGACAACTCGTTTTCATGCACAAATGTTTCATTGAGAAATACTGCACCAAACATCTTAGTTAGATGTCAAATTGCACGACTAAGATCTCCTCGGCAAAAACGTCAAAATTGACAAACAGTACTATTGCCGCTTTTTTCTCATTTTTCAAGTGAAGATCTTTTAAGGGAGGATGCGAGCACACTTGTTCGGTTCCAGCCGAACTAGGCGCCAGCCGAACTGAAACATGCTGACACCTTTAGGCTGATAACAACTCACAACTGCCAGATGGTGGATTTCTTCTTCTCCTGCATCTGAGGACTCTCCCTGGATGCCCTGAGGAGACAGAGAGAGGCATGTCTGTGCAGGAATAAAGCATGGGAGCAGCATATACCTAGCCTGGTCGCAGATCTGTTTGTCTTGCCAACTTCTATGGTCATTGTCATGCTAAATATAGGAGACAGGGCCTGCCTCTCCTGATCATCTCTGTCCACCAGACAGCCTACTGCATCAGCCTCTCCTTGTACTGGTTCCTCTCCCCTTCACCCCTCACTCCCCTCCTCCCTCCCCCCACTCCTCCTTCTCCTCTCCTCACCTGATCATCTCTGTCCACCGGACGGCCTCCTGTAGTTCCATTAGTCTCTCCTTGTACTGGTTCCTCTCCATCAGGACCCTGGCCATCTCCACCCGCGTGAAACGCCGACGCTGCGTCATGGTCACATCCCCATCCACCATCGGAGACGAGTACTGAGGGAGAAAAGGAGGAGGAGAGAAGGGAGGAGGCGAGAAGGGAGGAGAGAGGGGAGGAGGAGAGAAGAGAGGAAGAGAGAGGGGAGGATGAGAAGGGAAGAAGAGAGAAGGGGGGAGGAGAGAGGGCATATGTTGCATTCATACCCTTTTACACTGTCGTGCCAGCCAACCTCAAACTGTTCTGTGCTGGCTATCAGATATTTTCTATTTCACAACATTTTCAGAAGGCTAAAAGCAAACTATTCAATGCCAACCCGAGAGGCATAGTTAGCTCAACATGCCCCTAGATCAGCGTTTCCCAAAATAGGGGTCACCTGATTTGAAAATGGGGTCGCGAGAGAATCTATAATAATAATAATAATAATAATAATATGCCATTTAGCAGACACTTTTATCCAAAGCGACTTGTATGTGTGCATACATTTTTACGTATGTATCTCTGGTAGCCGCTAGATGTGGTTGTAATAAACAGAGCGGTTTCTATTTTCTTCTTTCTTTCTTTTGAATGGTTTAAACTACAAAATATTTTGACCCCATCACTTAAAGATAAGACTCTAAGGAACACGTACAGTGCATTTGTAAAGTATTCAGACCCCTTCACTTTTTCAAAATGTTGTTACTTTACAGCCTTATTCTAAAATTGATTAAATTATTTTTTCCCCTCAATCTACACACAATACCCCATAATGACAAAGCAAAAACAGGTTTTAGATTTTTTTGCAAATGTATTACAAATAAAAAACAGAAATAACTTATTTACATAAGTATTCAGACCCTTTACCATGAGACTCGAAATTGAGCTCAGGTCCATCCCTTTTCCATTGATCATCCTTGACATGTTTCTAAAACTTGATTGGAGTCTACCTGTGGTAAATTCAATTGATTGGACATGATTTGGAAAGGCACACCTGTCTATATAAGGTCCCACAGTTGACAGTGCATGTCAGAGCAAAAACCAAGTCATGAGGTCGAAGGAATTGTCCGTAGAGCTCCGAGAAAGGATTGTGTCGAGGCACAGATCTGTGGAAGGGTACCAAACCCTTTCTGCAACATTGAAGGTCCCCAGGAACACAGTGGCCTCCATCATTCTTAAATTGAAGAAGTTTGGAACCACCAAGAGCTGGCCGCCCGGCCAAACTGAGCAATCGGGGGAGAAGGCCTTGGTCAGGGAGGTGAGCAATAACCCGGTGGTCACTCTGACAGAGCTCCAGAGTTCCTCTGTCGAGATGGGAGAACCTTCCAGAAGGACAACCATCTCTGCAGAACTCCACCAATCAGGCCTTTATGGTAGAGTACCCAGACAGAAGCCACTCCTCAGTAAAAGTCACATGACAGCCCGCTTGGAATTTGCCAAAAGCTACCTAAAGAACTCTCAGATCATGAGAAACAAGATTCTCTGGTCTGATGAAACCAAGATTGAACTATTTGGCCTGAATGCCAAGAGTCACGTCTGGAGTAAACCATGCACTGCTCATCACCTGGCCAATACCGTCCCTACGGTGAAGCATGGTGGTGGCAGCATCATGCTGTGGGGATGTTTTTCAACGGCAGGGACTGGGAGACTAGTCAGAATCAAGGGAAATATGAACGGAGCAAACTACAGAGAGATCCTTGATGATAACATGCTCATGAGTGCTCAGGACCTCAGACTGGGGCGAAGGTTCAACTTCCAACAGGACAACGACCCTAAACACACAGACAAGACAACGCAGGAGTGGCTTCGGGACAAGTCTCTGAATGTCCTTGAGTGGCCCAGCCAGAGCCTGGACTTGAACCCGATTTAACATCTCTGGAGACACCTGAAAATAGCTGTGCAGCGACACTCCCCATCCAACCTGATAGAGCTTGAGAGGATCTGCAGAGAAGAATGGGAGAAACTACCCAAATACAGGTCTGCCAAGCTTGTAGCATCATACCCAAGATGACTCTAGGCTTTAGTCACTGCCAAAGGAGCTTCAACAAAGTACTGAGTAAAGGGTCTGAATACTTACGTAAATTTTTATACATTTGCAAAAGAGTAAAAACATGTTTTTACTTTGTCATTATGGGGTATTGTGTGTAAATTGATGAGGGGAAAAAATGATTGAATCCATTTTAGAATAAGGCTGTAACGTAACTAGGGTTGTTACGGTAACTGCATTACCGCCACACCGGCGGTCATGATGGCAGTCAAATTCCATGTAACTGTTTAGTCACGTAATTAGGCTTCTCCAAGCTCTGATGCTGCTGATGGTCATTAGTAGCCTACCAAACTGGCTAACTACCTGGTACTCAGCACTCTATTGTCCATCTACTCACTCTGACATCAATGCAAATGTATTCGAAATCTAATCAAACACTTAATGAGAGCCCATGAGCTCACGTTGCGCAACATTTCTATAGGCTATGCAGTAATAAAAAACAGAGTGATGGCCTCTATTAAAACGAGGAGGATCCCATCAGCTTTCTATAGGCTAGGTCTACTATATTTATTTCTCAACCTTCCTAATATTAAGCACATTGTTTCTCTTTACAACAGGAGTATAGCCTACCTGGCTGGCATGAAAATGAACCACGGAAAAAGCTATCTAAGTGCATAGATGACATCTAAGTGCATTTTTTCCCCGCTGCCCCTGTTTCGAGACAGGTGCATGATAATTGTCCATTCTAGATCAAAACAAATTTCATACATATATTATTTAGTATATGTAAAGACAAGATTAAATCAAGAATAGAATGATGGTTGACAACATTAGCCTATCACTTGTCAATGATGCCCAGCTGGAGGCAAACAGCGCATGCTTTTCTTTGCAACTTTTTCAAATCATAGTCGCACACCTCATGTAGCCTAGCCCATAGGCCTATATGTTTTGATAAGGTTTGTATCACAACTAAAGTGGCCAAATAACTTCTTAAAATGAAGCACATTAATCCGCTTTACAGTGTAGAGCCTAACTGGCATACATACGTGAGTTTCAAGTTTGAGGAAGATAATGTTCACCATAAAAATGCACCTTTATTATAAAAGCATTACATGCATAATCGCATTTGTGGTCACTTTTGAGAATGGTTTTTTCCTGCTAATGGAACATTTGCGCTTATAGCCTACTGCTGTGTGCGCATTGCTGCGCTTATAATGTGAAGAAATAGCCTAATAGTTTATCAACATTTAAGCTAAACGTTCTCATCTGTTGCGTAGAGCTCATTGCTTAAAACAGGTTTTTCTATGCTACTGGTTGTATTAATTTGGGATCTATCGCATCCCACAACTGTCCCGGACTATATTTTGAATATTTATTTCTCGCACAGAGTAGAACAGGTCAACTTTTGTACTATGGGGGATAGTAGATTGACATAGGCTAGTGCTTTTGCTGTTCGTTAGACCTACTCATATTGTTGGCTGACGAAAAGTAAATGTGGACAGTTCTTCCAATATCTTCAATATGCGCCTCAGAAATGGATAAGGACGTGCGCACTTGCGTCCACAATTTGTCTGTCTTCACTTGTAGCCTGTGAGAAAGACCCGATCACGTGACTGAGAGCTATGTGAGTGAGAGGTGCTTTGGCACGCAGCCGGAAGAAGGGAATTATAATTATATTCAACCCAAGGGCATAACGGCCACTGGCCACAAAAGGCATATATTTTTTTAGGGGGATTATGGCCAGACGAAGGGGATGCAGCCGGGAAATTTGAGGCATTATCAACTGCTTGTCAAATTGTGAATGAGAGACTGATGAAGTGTGTTCAGCCTGCGCAACAAACAAAGCAGAGCTCATGCCTTTCATGCAACTTTTTTCAAATCATCATTAGAGTTGCATCATGCAGCCTTAGAATGTATTAAAAATCAAAGCCCAACATTTGTATCACAACTAAAGTTACATAAATAACTCTAAATTAAGCATATAGGAGTACCTGTTTAACACAGAATAGCCGCATGTGTGGCTATGTTCAATTGTATTCTTCACACTATAAAATAATTTAAATAATGCTACGGAATTCTAAGAAAATCTTGTTTGCTAAATGAACTAGTGTAGCCCACAGCCATATGGCATAGCCAGATCAGGGCCTAACATAAGGACAACCCAGAGTATGCTATTCTGTTCTTCTGAAATAGACTATAATTTCTTCATGTTTCTTTAGACCGGTCTAAAATAAATAATGGACTTATTGTGATGGTGTAGGCTTTATTACATTAATTTATTAGACTTTTTAAAATGTAGATGTTCCAAAGGTCTGCATCAGTGGCTTGTAGGCTATGCGTGGAAGACAGGAGAAGCTAAATGTGTTTATGTTAATTAACAGTCAATTACCGTGAGACTGGCAGTTATTTGCCTGACAATCACTGGCTGACAAAATGTCATGACCGCCACAGCCCTAAACGTAACAAAATGTGGAAAAAGTGAAGGGGTCTGAATACTTTCCGAATGCACTGTATGTTTTTTTGTTTCCCTCTACAATGCCTACAAGCCACGCAGGACTCATCAGAACATAGTGGACAAGACCAGGCACTAAATCAGACAGAGGAAAAAGAACAATCAAGGTCATACAAACTCTTCTGAACTTCCAAATACCTTTCTGATGCATTTCAGTCACTTCAAACCATACTTCCTTCAGATTGAAATACTGTCAAAAGTACTATCAGAGTGATTTGTAATAGACTGTCATAACCCCAACTACAAAAGTAAACATTGACCGTTGATCACTTTCTTTACATGGTGGGGTCACAATCTTTTTTTAAATATCAAAATGGGGTCATGGGCCAAAAAAATGTTTGGGAACCCCTGCCCTAGCTAATCTTAGTTGAACAGGTAGGTATGTGAAATGCGGGTGTGAATTTCATATGAGCTCAATTAGGATTGAGGGCTCCTGCAAAGGCATTTCTGTCAAACTACCAAGGTCAGTTCTACGGAGAAGGCTGGCACAAGAATCTCAATAGTAATGTAGCAGGTGGCATTCTCTCAGGATTAACCCATATACAACAAATCTACCAACTACAGTAATTCGACATTTGAAAAAAACTAAAAATCACTGTTGTACTTGCCTTTCTTGTTGCACTAGTCTTTTCTTACTAGATTTTTCTGCTTTATTAAAGAAAATGTTACTTACAGAAACCAGGTTTCCATCCAACCTTTTTATATAATATAAATAATAATAATATGCCATTTAGCAGACGCTTTTATCCAAAGTGACTTACAGTCATGCGTGCATACATTTTTGTGTATGGGTGGTCCCGAGTAAAGTACATGTCGGATAAAAAATATCACCACAGGCCTGATGGAAATAGCAAATTTGTCAGTAAACTTTCCAAATGTAGACAAAACAAAATACACTAGACAAGGTGGGATCTTTTTCTGTTTGTAAAATTAATATATACTAAACAAAAATATAAAACGCAAAATGTAAAGTGTTGGTCCCTTGTTTCATGAGTTGAAATAAAATATCCCAGAAATATGCCATTCGCATAAAAATCTTATGTCTCTCAAGTTTTGTGCAAACATTTTGTTACATTCCTGTTAGTGAGCATTTCTCCTTTGCCAAGATAATCCATCCACCTGACAGGTGTGGCATATCAAGAAGTTGATTAAACAGCATGATCATTACATTTACATTTTAGTCATTTAGCAGACGCTCTTATCCAGAGCGACTTACAGTTAGTGAATGCATACATTATTATTTTTTCATACTGGCCACCCGTGGGAATCGAACCCACAACCCTGGCGTTGCAAACGCCATGCTCTACCAACTGAGCTACATCCCTGCCGGCCATTCCCTCCCCTACCCTGGACGACACTGGGCCAATTGTGCGCCGCCCCATGGGTCTCCCGGTCGCAGCCGGCTACGACAGAGCCTGGATTCGAACCAGGATCTCTAGTGGCACAGCCTTAGACCACTGGGCCACTCGGGAGATAACAGGTGCACCTTGTGCTGGGGACAATAAAAGGCCAATCTAAAATGTGCAGTTTTGTCACACAACAGTCATGTGAAATCCATAGATTAGGGCCTAATGAATTCATTTCAATTGACTGATTTCCTTATATGAACTGTAACTCAGTAAAATCTTTGAAATTGTTGCATGTTGTGTTTATATTTTTGTTCAGTATAATAACCATCAAATCGAAGTAAACTTGGAGTCACGCGATGATGTGTTGTGTGGCCCTCCCACTACGACTCGGGAAAGCATGCAGTTTATTATGATACAAATGAAATAAGTTATGAACTTCACAGAGTGGTGAAAGTCCACAGTGATGAGCTTAATGCTCCTTTCCAATAAATATCTAGGGTCTTATTCTGGTGACATGATGATCGATGCTTGGCTGCTGTTTGACAAGTGAAAACAATCTCGCTCTTTTGTCCATAATAATCTCGTCACATAGTAGGCTATTCCCGGACTGTATCTGTGAGGTATTGGCTAGAACGCATGTGCCAAGACCAGAGTGGGCACATTCGCTATATAACCAAAAATGTTTTGTGACAAAACCATCAGTAGAGTTGAACACGCGATGGAAACCCATTAAAATTGTATTTTTATTCGTCGCATGGGAATTTAACCGCAAACGTTTTTTTTAATGTGCACTAAGTCACCACGCACAGCCTTTTATCCGCAACAAGTCAATTTGATGGAAACACATCTCTGATGGAAACACATTTTAGAATATTCGCATGAAAATCTGTTGCCAATTGGATGGAAACCTAGCTTATGACTATGACTGTGATATGTGGTTGTTGTATCTAGCTACTAATGCACTAACTGTAAGTCACTCTGGATAAGAGTGTCTGCTATATGACTAAATGTTTATTTGTTTGTTTGTTTTACTCACATCTTCTCCTCCTTCATCCTTGGAGTCCTGAGATGCTCCCAGAGTCAGAGCCTCTGCTCTCAACCTGAGGAGGCAAAGGGTGATAAGAGTCCCAAGTCACACACACTATGCCCGCACGCACACACACACACACACTCCCACCACCCCTCACCTCTTCAGCTCTTCTTCCAGTTCTTTAACCTTTGCATCTACTTTGTTCTTGGCAGTCCTAAGGGCCTCCAGTTCCTCTCGCAGCACCTCATGCTCCCCAGAGAGCTCGTCCACTTTGGCTATCAGGTCGTTCTTCACGATGTTCAGAGCATTTCTGCATGGGGAGAAATGGGAATCAATGAATAATAATAATAATATGCCATTTAGCAGACGCTTTTATCCAAAGCGACTTACAGTCATGCGTGTATGGGTGGTCCCGGGGATCGAACCCACTACCTTGGCATTACAAGCGCCGTGCTCTACCAGCTGAGCTACAGAAGACCACACACAATAATTGTACTGCTTAACTCAATAATTAAACAAAAGTCTTTGGGTGCCAATCGAAAGGAATTTCAACTGGAAAACCTGTTGTGGGGGAGGGCGGGGGGGGGCATGGTTTCCAGGTGGGGAGGGAGGACGCAGGCAGGTGGATGGGGACTGAGGGGGAGAATGGGTTGGAGGTTATTTTGTATGCATTTCTTTGATAGTTTTTTTGTACCTGTAACCCCGCCTCAAAAGAAAACAGACAAAACGAAATAAAAGAAAAGGAAAACCCATTTTCTCTCCATGTCTTACTATCCTTGCATGTCTGTGTGTGTGTGCTCTCTCTATTCATCCAAATAATTGCATTTTTACTCAACCCTTGCAAAAGAACAGCCCCCTCTAGTAAATCTATCTTGCACCAATCCATCGTTAATATCCAGCAGCACAACAAACAAGTGTGAGTTTATAACACACACACACACTTACTTGGTCTCCAGAAGATGTTTGTTCTCCGTCAGAAGATTTTCCACCTCCTTGCCCATCCCTGTGACGTATTAGTTAGCATTAGCGTTAGCATTGATTAGCACTAACAACACTCTTTCCAGCCTGATCCCAGATCTGTTTGTGCTGTTTGTCTTGCCAAACAGTTGGCAAGAGAGCACAAACAGACCTGGGACCAGGCTACACTCATTTTATAGATCTATAAACACTTCATGGACTCTCCAAGTGTTCATTAACTATAAACTTAGTTAACCTTTTTTCATGAACACATGAATCGTCTTTGAATATGAATTCTGGGGCTATTTATGGACTAATTCTACATCAGTAATGTATGAAGGTTTGGAGGTTTTGGGGAGCATCATGGTGTTTAAGCCAACTCCCGCAAGCTGAAATGAAACCAAGAAAAGCCCAAAAGATTTCCCAAAAGAAATACAGATACGATAATGATGTGTTTGCTGTGACATGCTCAAATAAAACGGAAATGCGCTTTCACAGAGTCAAACAACATGAGGACGAAGCAACGGATTTAAAATCTAAATAAAGGTAAAAAACAAATACAAAAGAAGAAGAAATAGCTTGCTAGACTCAAATAAAAGCCAACAGGCAATGGGAGGAAGTGACATCACAGCAGAGAAACAGGTAGGAAATGGCATCACAACATAGAACGCAGAAAAGACGAGACATCACAGACAGACACAACAACATGGGAGGATGAGCAACAGCCAGAGATGCTGAATAAGGCTAGAGGGAGCCTTACCGAAAAAATCATCACGGACTGGGAGAGAGGAAGAGAAATGGGGAGAGAGAGAAGGAGAAAGAAAGAGGGAGGGGGGCACAGACCAGAGAGAGAGAGAGAGAGGAGGAATGGGGTGAGATAAAAGAGAGAGAGGAGAGAGAATGCTGATAAGCACTTGTTATATACTAAAGCTTGAGAGAGCAATAAGAGAGCTTGGATCTGTCCAAGAGCAGAGAACACTAGTAGTCCGTTTAGAGTCAGCGCGACAAACATTGAAAGATTCACCTTCATTGACCACAGGGTTCAGTTGAGCTTTGTAACATTACGACCAACCAATCAAAGAGAGCATTATCTCTATGATATCTGGACTAGATCAACATTTAAAACAACTGTTGTAGCCTGGAATGCCAGCATCGTGTCATTAGGTAAAGCCTACAGGCATAGAGTGGTACTTCGTGTGTGTCTTGGAAGGTGGGAGGCAGGGGTGTGTATGTGTGTGTGTGAGAAATAGAGGGTTCAGATACACACCTGAGAACTCCCCTAGGGGCATGTCCAGCATACACAGGAAGGGAGAGAGGAAGCACAGAGAAGGGTCACGGGTCAATAAACTAATATGATCGCAGTGAAATAAACCAATCATGAAGCTCTGTCAACTCAAAAAGTAAACCAAGACTAAATCAAGAATAATTTAGCTTGCCCTGTAAAATCAACCATTCAAATATATCAAATCAAAGGGGACTGCAGCCATGGTGCAAGTGATATCCCAGGGTGCTTTGCGGTGCGGTGGAGGATGGGGGAGCTGCCGGGGATGTGCGGTGGTGGTGAACATTCCGCTGTGTGCAGGGTCAAAGTTCAGAGCCAGCCAGTGCTATGGCAACGGTGACACAGCTGGTGACACAGCCTCTAAACATAGCGCTTAATTGTGATATTTATACCAAAAAAAGAAGCAAAACATATTTCACAGAAATAACCATTTGCTCTTTTTGAGGTGTTTGGGGCACCCACCAGCTTAGTACTAAGCACTGCAGCTTACATTCCCAATGACTTTCTGCTTAGTGCAGACAGAGGTTGGGTTCCAGGATGACTACATTTCAGACGCATGCCAGAACTCACAATGCTGGATAGGTGTTTAACATATCAGCTAACCACATCATTTGAAATAGCAATAGCAACCCGACTGTGCAGGTTGTGTGCCAGTCGATGACATGGCACACAACCATTGGTTAATGCAATGCAACGTTTGCAATGTAGACAGCCTGGAACATAACCAGAGACTGGCCTACGCTGCCTTCCAATAGCTAATTTGCATATACCCCACCCAATGCTCCTCTGATTGGCTTACCTAGAAGCTCCGCCCCGGCGTCCACGTCCCCGATGATGTCAGACTTGGCATCCTTGATCTCGTGGTAGAGAGAGTCGGTGTTGATACCGAACGCCTCGTTCACGATGCCCTGGGAAGGACTGACACACACACTGATATGTAATAAATGCTGTGTGTGTGTGTGTGTGTGTGTGTGTGTGCGTGTGCGTGTGTGCGTTACCTGTTTCCTCCACCATAAAGACACATATCCAGCTCTGGGGTGGAATCAATGATCTCTTGGAATTCAGACCACTCGTCACTGCTACCCATACCTGAGTACATATAGAATATCATACACACTCAATACCATATTCACAAAGCATCTCAGAATAGGAGCCATCATCTAGGATCCGTTTTTCCTTTTCGATCATAATGAATAAGATTACATGGACAGGGGGTGACCTGATCCTAGTTCAGCACTCCTTCTCAAAGGGACTTTATGAATACAGGCCCTGATCACACAATGATCCACTCATGCTAACGTGTGTGTGTGCGTGAGTGTGTGTGTGCGTGTGTGTGTGAAACTGCACGTTACACGCACCGATGCTGACGTTCCTGGTTTCCTGAGAGACCTGCACCTCCATGTTTCTGCTGAGGCGTTTGGCACTCTTCCTGCCGCGGCTTACAGCATGCATTGGGTCGAACTCGCCGGGCGGGAGGAAGCCCTCGTTGAGGGGCGTGACGGTGGCGGAAGGGACGGAGGAAGTGGGCGTGTTGGACTTACTTCCTGTGCTACTGGGCGTGGCCGCCACTGAATCCGACTCGGAACCATCCTCCTGGGGCGTCAGAGGTCAGGGGTTAAAGAGGTCAAGGGGCTACATTGTTAAAGATCCCGCATCCCAATTCTCCACCCTTCTCCCAAAGTGTACACTTGCACACTTCCCTTCATGGATTTAACAATGGTGGAAACTCCCTCCAGACAATGTTTGCACCAAGCCAATGCTTTTAAATCAATGACGGAGAGTATGCAAGCGCACATTTAGTCTGAAGGGTGGAGAAGCCAGGGTTCTTCTCTTGCAAGGCTCATTGCAATCTTCAAGATCTTGCTTATACTTACAATCTTGCGCGTACATTTAGTAACAAAGCATCACACTACCAGTCAAAAGTTTGAACAGACATGCTCATTCAAGGGTTTTTCATTATATTTACTATTTTCTACATTATAGAATAATAGTGAAGACATCAAAACTATGAAATAACACATATGCAATCATGTAGTAACCAAAAATGTGTTAAACAAATCAAAAAATATTTTATATTTGAGAATCTTAAATTGCTACCCTTTGCCTTGATGAAAGCTTTGCACACTCTTGGCATTCTCTCAACCAGCTTAATGAGATAGTCACCTGGAATGCAACTTCTTAAAAGTTAATTTGTGGAATTTCTTTCCTTCTTAATGCATTTGAGCCAATCAGTTGTGTTGTGACAAGGTGACAAGGGGGGAGGGTATACAGAAGATAGCCCTATTTGGTAAAAGACCAAGTCCATATTATGGCAAGAACTGCTCAAATAAGCAAAGAGAAACAACAGTCCATCATTACTTTAAGAAATGAAGGTCAATCAATACGGAACATTTCAAGAACTTTTAAAGTTTCTTCAAGTGCAGTCGCAAAAACCATCAAGTGCTATGATGAAACTGGATCTCATGAGGACCGCCACAGGAATGGAAGACCCAGAGTTACCTCTGCTGCAGAGGATAAGTTCATTAGAGTTACCAGCCTCAGAAATTGCAGCCCAAATAAATGCTTCACAAAGTTCAAGTAACAGACACATCTCAACATCAACTGTTCAGAAGAGACTGTGTGAATCAGACCTTCATGATTGTATTGCTACAAAGAAACCACTACTAAAGGACACCAATAAGAAGAAGGCACTTGCTTAGGCCAAGAAACACGAGCAATGGACATTAGACCTGTGGAAATGTGTCCTTTTGGTCTGGAGTCCAAATTTGAGATTTTTGGTTCCAACCGCCATGTCTTTGTGAGACGCGGTGTGGGTGAACGGATGATCTCCGCATGTGTATTTCCCACCGAAAAGCATGGAGGAGGAGGTGTTATGGTGTGGGGTGCATTGCTTGTGACACTGTCTGTGATTTATTTAGAATTCAAGGCACACTTAACCAGCATGGCTACCACAGCATTCTGCAGTGATACGCCATCCCATCTGGTTTGGGCTTTGTGGGACTATCATTTGTTTTTCAACAGGACAATGACCCAACACACATCCAGGCTGTGTAAGGGCTATTTTACCAAGAAGGAGAGTGATGGAGTGCTGCATCAGATGACCTGGCCTCCACAATCCCCCGACCTCCACCCAATTGAGATGGTTTGGGATGAGTCAGACCGCAGAGTGAAGGAAAAGCAGCCAACAAGTGCTCAGCATATGTGGGAACTCATTCAAGACTGTTGTAAAAACATTCCAGGTGAAGCTGGTTGTGAGAATGCCAAGAGTGTGCAAAGCTGTCATCAAGGCAAAGGGTGGCAATTTAAGAATCTCAAATATAAAATATATTTTGATTTGTTTAACACTTTTTTGGTTACTACATGATTCCATGTGTTATTTCATAGTGTTGATGTCTTCACTATTATTCTACAATGTAAAAAATTGTTAAAATAAAGGAAAACCCTTGAATGAGTAGGTGTGTCCAAACTTTTGATTGGCAATGTGAAACGGGATGTGAAGACAGGTGCAAACAGGATGATAGAAGCTAAGTTATGTTCTATTATGTATTCATCATATCTGTTCATCCACTGTCATGTCTTCATTATACTCACTGCCTTAAAACAATCAACAAACACCACAAAGAAAAGCCCTTGGAAGACAAGGGACACAAACAGGCGTGAGGGATGTGTCTGGATGATTCCGAATGACGATGGTGGTGGTGGGTGTGGCATGACGTAAGGCATGACGTGTTCTGCAGACGTGAGGTCCAGGGGGAGTGTTTGGCTCCGTCCCAAATGACAACCAATTCCCTTTATAGTGCACTAGTTTTGACCACGGCCCATAGTGCTCTGGTCAAAAGTAGTGGACTATAAAGGGAAAAGGGTGCCATTTGTGACGGAGCCTCTATCACACCTGGTAGCCAGAGGTGTAGCGGAATTGGATGAGCTCGCTGACCTGCCAGACGTCAGTCCCAGACCCAGACATTATCATCCTAGCCCCCCCGAGACCCCAACCTACCATCCCCATGCCCTCTCCACTGGGGTACAGGCTCAACGACGGGGGACGCTCCACTTTGCTGCTGGGGGAAAGGGGGGGGGGGAGAGAAGGGGGGAGCACAAAACAAAGGGGGAAGAGGAAAGGTTTGAGTGAGAGAAGAAAAAGAAAATGAGAATGAAAGAGAGAGAGAGAGAGAGGTGAGGGGGACGAGAGAGGAGAGGGGCAGAGAGAGGGAGGGAGATAATGTACTGTACATTAGGTATCTGGAGAAAGGTGAAAGCTAACTTTGGGGTTGCATAACATAAAACTGAAAATCCCTTGAATTAAGCACAAACACACAAAGCCAGCTACTGGACAGACTGACACTCAACCAGACCGACATAATATGACACAATATATCCATATTATGGAGAAACCGAGAGGCTATAAGGACATGCCTGCTGAGTAAAGTGGAGATGAGCAGATTCGGTTCAGTCATGATGAGCCCTTCCCAGCTAGCAAGTATATGCTGGCTAGCTGGCAACAACAGCAGCATGGCGCTTGTTAAAACTTGTAAAAGAAAGTGTTGTTTATTTAAATGGACGACGTAGAAATAACTTGTAGCATTGGTCACCATCTGAATATCACCGTGACATGCCAATTAGTTAACGTTACGACAAGCCGGTGCGAATGACCAGTGCAACGGTGTTGTATCGAGTTTTGCCGACGTGAGTTGCTTCCCACAGGACAGCTGTATCACATGTCGCCTACGGTAGCTAACCTGGCCAATTTGTTCCATCCCAATTGATTTTATTAAAAACAAAAGAACGGTGTGCAGGTGTGGCTGGAAGCTTCTATGAAAACCACACCACAAAAAACAATATACTGTAACGACCCGGTATTGTGTTCTGTGTTCGTGGGTGTGTTATCGTTCTCATGGGTGCTAGCAGGGGTTAAATATGCCAGGACAGATGGAAAGGTTGGGGGTGTATGATGGGTAATCCCGCGGGGTTTTGGAATGCTTAAATAGGGGTTACGGTCTCATCTCTCTCTCTTCTGTTTTGGGACCCTTGACTTGACATGTTATATTTGTGTATGTTCGAGGTTTAGCGGCGTGGGCTGTGGCCTGAACAATAGCCCATTCAGGAATAAACCTGTGTTCTGCCTGTACACCTGGTGCCCGTCTCTCTTTTACTTTATGACCCAGCTGGGTCATTACATTGGTGTCAGAAGTGCTTTCGAATGACGGGATAGATCGAGATTAGGCGAGTTAGCTGTTTCAGTATAGGCCGTGGTTAGCTTTAGCGTGACTCGCATCTACGGTCATGATGATCGGGGCGAGGCGGAAAATTAAGGAAGAGTCGAACAAAGTGTCCGTTGTGGGCTCGGGTGTACCCGGTCGGGAGGGTCAGGCGACGACGGCTGTAGAAGAGCTGGAGAGCCACATGGCGGAAGTTAAATTGTCAGTCAGCAAGATGGCAGAACGGGCGGGTTTTCCTTCAAACCGCTCGGCCAGAACAGACGTCACGGCGACGGAGATATCGACGTCACCGCGTGCGGAAATGGCTGGGCCTCCTTATGTAAACAGAGATGGCAGCGCCATATTGCCATTAGCCACGGTAGCGGCTAAACTTCCAAAGTTCAATGGACAAGGTAAATGGGACGTTTTTTTCACTCAATTCGAGTTGTTGGCTAGAGCCGGGAGGTGGTCTGACGAGACGAAAGGGTTACAGCTTGCCCTGAGCCTGGCAGAGGAGGCGTCATGCCTGCTAACGCTAGCTCCGGACGAGAGGGGTGACTACGGTGCGCTAGTGGAGGCATTGGGGGGCCGTTTCGGCAGTGATGCACAGCCCAACATGCTGCGGATTGGACTGAGTAACAAAAAGAGACTTCAGGGGGAATCATTAAAGGCGTTGGCAAGTGATATTCTGAGCCTGACCAGGCGGGCTTATGCAACTATGCCGATTGGGGTGCAAGACGAGCTGGCACGGGACAGTTTTATTAGAGCGCTCTCCCCCACCGAACTGGGTAAGCATGTTCAGATGTCGGACCCAGCATCTCTGCGGGCTGCAGTGGAGATAGCCAGGAAGAGGGAGCTGATCTGGGGTGAGGGAGTGAGAGTGGAGGTTGCCAGTCAACCAGAGGTGAGAGCAGCGGCGGCCGGGGTGCCGGGGGTCACCAAACCAGAGTGGGTCGACGAGTTGGGCGGGTTAGTCAAGACCGCTTCGCTTGTCATTGAGAGGGGCTCCAGACAACATCGCAGTGTCAGCTCAACTCCCATTGTCTGCTGAGGTTGTGGCCAGCCTGGCCACATTCAGCGGGAGTGTGGCAGATTCTCCCGTCACCAGGGAAACGACAGCGGGTTCTCGCGCAGGGGGCAGCGCGGGCCCACCCCTCCGCCCCCGAACCCACAGTAAGCAGAAGAGGTACCCAGCAGCACAGGCAAGAGGGTGGGGACCTGCTTCCCCAGGGTGTAGCTGCCACCGTGTTTCCTAGTCCGGTAGTTGTGGTGGGACGTACCACCATTGGGGACTTCTGCAATGTCATCGTCAAGGTAGAGGGGGTGGAATGTTTGGCCCTGGTCGACACAGGCTCTACAGTAACCCTGGTGAGACCAGACATACTACCTGTTGGGGTGTGGGTGGAGCCGACCCTTGTCCAGCTACGGACTGTCACGGGGGAGCTAGCCCCCATGTTAGGGAAGTGTCGGTTGTCTGTGACTGTGGGGGGGAGAACTGTGGGGTGTCCGGTGTGGGTAGCAGCGGTACAGGACCCCTGTATACTGGGAATGGACTTTTTGAAAAACTGTGGGGCTCAGTTGGACTTAGCTTCGGGCACTTTGAGGCTGTCGGGGGGGCCCACAGTGGGAATGTCGCCTTCGGGAGGGCCAGCAGGGGGCAGGGCTGTCCCTCCGTCTTCCTCCAAGCTTGCCGAAACTCCACTGGTTGTCCCGGCTGCTCCCTTGGTCGTTGTGCCATCCCAGCAGCTGTCTCCGGCGGCAACGACCTTCACTCCCCATAATGGTGCAAGCACAGGCAGCCCAGTAGCCCAAAACACACTGGCTTCTTCACCCCATCAGCCCGACGGGGGGAAGGAGGAAGTTATCGACGCCGTTGAGGCTGTGTGGCTGAAAAACTGTCAAGGTCTGGATGAGAGACAACAGAGACAGTTAAAGCAGCTGCTGTTTGACTTTAAAGATAGCTTCGCTTGGGGGGAAGATGAGGTAGGGCAAACGCACCTGGTTCAGCACGACATCGACACTGGGGACAACCAACCCATTAAAATTTGGCCCGTCGCATTCCCCTTGCCAAGAGGGAAGCAGCAGCCACAGCTATTGCTGACATGTTGCGGGCTGATTTCATTGAGCCGTCAGATAGCCCATGGTCCGCGCCGGTTGTCATGGTGCCTAAGAAAGGGGGTAAACTTAGGTTTTGTGCGGACTACAGGGGCCTAAATTCTGTCACCACTAAAGACTCTTACCCCATACCGAGGATCGATGAGTCGCTAGACCACGTCAGAGGGTCCTCGTGGTTCTCTTCCCTTGATCTGCGCAGTGGCTACTGGCAGGTGCCCCTCTCGCCTGGGGCACGTGAAAAAACTGCCTTCTCCACGGATAGGGGCCATTGGCAGTTCAAGGTGCTGTGCTTCGGGCTTTGTAATGCTCCTGCCACCTTTGAGAGGCTCAAGGATAGAGTGCTGGCGGGGGTTCCAAGAGACGAGTGTGTCGTGTACCTAGACGACATATTGGTGCACGGCACATCGTTTGAGGGGGCACTGGGGGCACTTAGGCGAGTGCTGGAGAGGATCTCGGGGGCGGGGCTAAAATTACACCCGGAAAAGTGCCATTTCATGCAAAGGGAGGTGGCGTTCCTGGGTCATCAGCTGGGTGGTGAGGGCATCAGCACGATGCCAGACAAAGTGGAGGCTGTGAGGGGGTGGCCAATTCCAAGGGGGAAAAAATAGGTTAAGAGCTTCCTGGGTCTGGCATCCTACTATCGTAGGTTTGTGAAAGGGTTTGTGGGGATAGCAGCTCCTTTGAACCACCTTCTCAAGAAGGACACTGTTTTTCAGTGGACCGAAGAGCACCAGCGGGCGTTTGAGGCCCTCAAACGTGCCCTGGTGGAGGCCCCTGTCCTGTCCTCACCAGACCCGAACCGTCCGTTTATCCTGGACACCGACGCAAGCAATGAGGGCTTGGGGGCTGTGCTGGCTCAGCGTGGTTCTGACGGGGAGCACGTAGTAGCTTATTACAGCAGAACTTTTGATAAGGCTGAAAAACGCTACTGCGTGACAAGGAGGGAGCTTTTGGCTGTCGTGGCAGCAGTACGCTATTTCAAGTACTACCTGGGGGGCCTGCTGTTTGTGGTGCGGACGGATCACTCCGCCCTGCAGTGGCTTCTCTCCTTCAAGGAGCCAGAGGGTCAGATCGCCCGCTGGTTGGAGGAGCTGCAACCCTACGACTTCCAGGTGAAGCACAGGGCCGGCCTTCGCCACAGCAATGCAGACGCCTTGTCCCGCCGCCCGTGTGCTGAGGACGGCTGTGGGTACTGCGCCAAACGGGTGGAGCGAGAGAGGGAACTGTGCATGTAGGAGGGAGTCACCGCCACGGTGAGTCAGCTGAGGGTGACAGAGTGCCGGGAGCTTGAGGCTGTGGACGTCGGGGAGTGGAGGCGTCGCCAGGAGGAGGACGCAGAGCTGCGTCCTGTGCTGGGGTGGGTGGAAGAGAGAAGACGACCGCCGTGGGGGGAAGTAGCCCCTCTATCACCAGTCACCAAAGGACTGTGAGCTAAATTCTCAGTCCTTAGAGTGGCTGAGGGAGTGCTCCAGAGGGGGTGGAAAATCAAATCAAATCAAATCAAATTTTATTGGTCACATGCGCCGAATACAACAGGTGCAGACATTACAGTGAAATGCTTACTTACAGCCCTTAACCAACAGTGCATTTATTTTAAACAAAAAAAGTAAGAATAAAACAACAACAAAAAAAGTGTTGAGAAAAAAAGAGCAGAAGTAAAATAAAGTGACAGTAGGGAGGCTATATATACAGTAAAATAAAGTGACAGTAGGGAGGCTATATATACAGGGGGGTACCGTTGCAGAGTCAATGTGCGGGGGCACCGGCTAGTTGAGGTAGTTGAGGTAATATGTACATGTGGGTAGAGTTAAAGTGACTATGCATAAATACTTAACAGAGTAGCAGCAGCGTAAAAAGGATGGGGTGGGGGGGCAGTGCAAATAGTCCGGGTAGCCATGATTAGCTGTTCAGGAGTCTTATGGCTTGGGGGTAGAAGCTGTTGAGAAGTCTTTTGGACCTAGACTTGGCACTCCGGTACCGCTTGCCGTGCGGTAGCAGAGAGAACAGTCTATGACTAGGGTGGCTGGAGTCTTTGACAATTTTGAGGGCCTTCCTCTGACACCGCCTGGTATAGAGGTCCTGGATGGCAGGAAGCTTTGCCCCAGTGATGTACTGGGCCGTACGCACTACCCTCTGTAGTGCCTTGCGGTCGGAGGCCAAGCAGTTGCCATACCAGGCGGTGATGCAACCAGTCAGGATGCTCTCGATGGTGCAGCTGTAGAATTTTTTGAGGATCTGAGGACCCATGCCAAATCTTTTTAGTCTCCTGAGGGGGAATAGGCTTTGTCGTGCCCTCTTCACGACTGTCTTGGTGTGTTTGGACCATGATAGTTCGTTGGTGATGTGGATACCAAAGAACTTGAAGCTCTCAACCTGTTCCACTACAGCCCCGTCGATGAGAATGGGGGCGTGCTCAGTCCTCTTTTTTTTCCTGTAGTCCACAATCATCTCCTTTGTCTTGGTCACGTTGAGGGAGAGGTTGTTGTCCTGGCACCACACGGCCAGATCTCTGACCTCCTCCCTATAGGCTGTCTCATCGTTGTCGGTGATCAGGCCTACCACTGTTGTGTCGTCGGCAAACTTAATGATGGTGTTGGAGTCGTGCCTGGCCATGCAGTCATGGGTGAACAGAGAGTACAGGAGGGGACTGAGCACGCACCCCTGAGGGGCCCCCGTGTTGAGGATCAGTGTGGCAGATGTGTTGTTACCTACCCTTACCACCTGGGGGCGGCCCGTCAGGAAGTCCAGGATCCAGTTGCAGAGGGAGGTGTTTAGTCCCAGGATCCTTAGCTTAGTGATGAGCTTAGAGGGCACTATGGTGTTGAATGCTGAGCTGTAGTCAATGAATAGCATTCTCACGTAGGTGTTCCTCTTGTCCAGGTGGGAAAGGGCAGTGTGGAGTGCGATAGAGATTGCATCATCTGTGGATCTGTTGGGGCGGTATGCAAATTGGAGTGGGTCTAGGGTTTCTGGGATTATGCTGTTGATGTGAGCCATGACCAGTCTTTCAAAGCACTTCATGGCTACAGACGTCAGTGCTACGGGTCGGTAGTCATTTAGGCAGGTTATCTTAGAGTTCTTGGGCACGGGGACTATGGTGGTCTGCTTGAAACATGTTGGTATTACAGACTCAGTCAGGGACATGTTGAAAATGTCAGTGAAGACACTTGCCAGTTGGTCAGCACATGCTCGGAGTACACGTCCTGGTAATCCGTCTGGCCCTGCGGCCTTGTGAATGTTGACCTGCTTAAAAGTCTTACTCACATCGGCTACGGAGAGCGTGATCACATAGTCATCCGGAACAGCTGGTGCTCTCATGCATGCTTCAGTGTTGCTTGCCTCGAAGCGAGCATAGAAGTGGTTTAGCTCGTCTGGTAGGCTTGTGTCACTGGGCAGCTCGCGGCTGTGCTTCCCTTTGTAGTCTGTAATAGTTTTCAAGCCCTGCCACATCCGACGAGCGTCAGAGCCAGTGTAGTATGATTCAATCTTAGACCTGTATTGACTCTTTGCCTGTTTGATAATAATAATAATAATAATAATAATAATTCGTCGGAGGTCATAGCGGGATTTCTTATAAGCGTCCGGGTTAGAGTCCCGTTCCTTGAAAGCGGCAGCTCTACCCTTTAGCTCAGTGCGGATGTTTCCTGTAATCCATGGCTTCTGGTTGGGGTATGTACGTACGGTCACTGTGGGGACGACATCATCGATGCACTTATTGATGAAGCCAGTGACTGATGTGGTGTACTCCTCAATGCTGTCTGAAGAATCCCGGAACATGTTCCAGTCTGTGCTAGCAAAACAGTCCTGTAGCTTAGCATCTGCGTCATCTGACCACTTTTTTATTAACCGAATCACTGGTGCTTCCTGCTTCAGTTTTTGCTTATAAGCAGGAATCAGGAGGATAGAGTTATGGTCAGATTTGCCAAATGGAGGGCGAGGGAGAGCTTTGTATGCGTCTCTGTGTGTGGAGTAAAGGTGGTCTAGAGTTTTTTTCCCTCTGGTTGCACATTTAACATGCTGGTAGAAATTAGGTAGAACGGATTTAAGTTTCCCTGCATTAAAGTCCCCGGCCACTAGGAGCGCTGCATCTGGATGAGCGTTTTCCTGTTGATTAATGGCCTTGTACAACTCATTCAGAGCAATCTTAATGCCAGCATTGGTTTGTGGTGGTAAATAGACAGCTATGAAAAATATAGATGAAAACTCTCTTGGTAAATAGTGTGGTCTACAGCTTATCATAAGATACTCTACCTCAGGCGAGCAAAACCTCGAGACTTCCTTAGTATTTGATTTTGTGCACCAGCTGTTGTTTACAAATATACACAGACCGCCGCCCCTTGTCTTACGTTCTGTCCTGCCGATGTAGCGTATAGCCTGCTAGCTGAATGTTATCATTGTTGTCGTTCAGCCACGACTCCGTGAAACATAAGATATTACAGTTTTTAATGTCCCGTTGGTAGGATAACCGTAATCTTAACTCGTCCATTTTATTCTCAAAAGATTGAACGTTGGCTAGTAGGATTGATGGGAGAGGCAGTTTACTCGCTCGCCGTCGGATCCTTACAAGGCACCCGGATCTGCGTCCGCGATATCTCCGTCTCTTCCTCACGCGAATGACGGGGATCTGGGCCTTGTCGGGTGTCTGTAGGATATCCTTCGCGACCGCCTCGTTGAAGAAAAAATCTTCGTCCAATGCGAGGTGAGTAATCGCTGTCCTGATATCCAGAAGCTCTTTTTGGTTATAAGAGACGATGGCAGAAACATTATGTACAAAATAAATTACAAATAACGCGGAAAAACACACATAATAGTACAATTGGTTAGAGGGCTGTAAAACGGCAGCCATCTTCCCGGCGCTGTTCTCTCCAGCTACTGGAGAAATTACGTGGCAGGTAGTGGTTCCCAAAAGGCTGCAAGGGAGCGTGTTACAGCAGCTTCACGGGGGAGTAGGCGCAGGGCATTTGGGGTCTCCAAAACATTAAAGCGCGTGCGTAAAGGCTTCTATTGGGCCAGGCACAGGAGGGATGTGGAGGACTTTTGTAGGCAGTGCGACGAGTGTGCTGCTAAAAAAGGACCTCCAGGTCAGTCACACGCCCTCCTACAACAATTCCCAGTAGGGGAGCCCATGGAGAGACTGGGGGTAGACATAGTTGGACCGTTTCCAACCACAGACAGCGGTAACAGGTGGATTCTAACTGCTATGGACTACTTCACCAAGTGGCCAGAGGCTTACGCTCTCCCAGACCAGGAGGCAGAAACAGTAGCTGATGCGTTGGTAGGGGGAATAATCAGTCGATTTGGGGTGCCACAGTCTATACACAGCGACCAGGGGAGAAACTTTGAGTCACGGGTGTTCTCAGAGTTGTGTAGACGGTTAGGCGCGGAGAAGACGCGCACTACTCCGCTTCACCCCCAGAGTGATGGGCTGGTGGAAAGATTTAACAGAACATTAGCACAACAGCTGGCTATCGTTACCTCAAAACACCAGAGAGATTGGGACACCCACTTACCGTTTATTCTTATGGCATGTAGGTCGGCTGTTCAAGAATCGACTGCGTGCTCCCCAGCGCTACTAATGTTAGGTCGTGAGTTGCGCACCCCAGCCGAACTGACGTTTGGCCACCCTCCTGATAACGACGACGGGGTTTTGCCTGGCCCGAACTATGTTCGTCGTCTGCAGAACCGGTTAGAAGCGGCTCACACCTTCGCAAGAGAGCAACTCGAGAACGCAGGAATGCGCCAAAAGCGCCACTATAACTCACGCGCTAGGGGGAGGCACTTTGGAGCGGGAGAACGCGTGTGGCTTCACAACCCCACGCGCAAGAAGGGGCGGTGCCCAAAGCTGGACAGTGCCTGGGTGGGGCCGTGCCTGGTGATAGAGAGAGTGGGGGAGGTGACGTACCGGGTGGAGGTTCCCCCACGGAGCAGGAAGGTGGTGGTCCACCGGGACCGATTGGCGCCCTACAGAGGGAGGAAAACGGTAGGGAATGGAAGTGAGGACTCTGATGTGAGCACACGGGGACAGTCTAGCGAGGAGACTCTAGCGCAACCTGAGCCTGGAACAGGGGCTGCCTCTTCGGAGGGCGCTGGAAATGACATTGGGGCAGATGAGTGTTCTGGGGGTCCACCAGTGAGAGTCAAGGGCAGGCACAAGAGACTGATGCGACCTCCGGGTCGTTTTAAGGATTTTGTTTTGTAACCCTAGGGGCTAGGGTTTAGAAAGGGGGGGGCTATGTAACGACCCAGTATTGTGTTCTGTGTTCGTGGGTGTGTTATCGTTCTCATGGGTGCTAGCAGGGGTTAAATATGCCAGGACAGATGGAAAGGTTGGGGGGGTATGATGGGTAATCCCGCTGGGTTTTGGAATGCTTAAATAGGGGTTACGGTCTCGTCTCTCTCTCTTCTGTTTTGGGACCCTTGACTTGACATGTTATATTTGTGTATGTTCGAGGTTTAGCGGCGTGGGCTGTGGCCTGAACAATAGCCCATTCAGGAATAAACCTGTGTTCTGCCTGTACACCTGGTGCCCGTCTCTCTTTTACTTTATGACCCAGCTGGGTCATTACAATACAATACATAAGTACAAAAATAAAAAAAGGTTTGTTAAAACATAACAAAACCTAAATATAAATGAATTGAACACGGGGCACAGTGTCATTTTCTCCCGCTTGCCGAGCACTGCTGTCCCGCAGTAAGGAGTGGGAAGTAGCTAGCTAGTGTAGCCAATATCAGGCCTGGGTGACAGCGAAAGCACATTTATTGTAGTGAATTTCACAGAAAATGTACAACTACGCCATTAATGTCTACATACAAAATTAAAAATAAAGAACAATTACTCCGATAAAAACGTAATGATTCTGAATACACTCCCATGTCCTGACTTCGGCAGACAAGTTTCAAATTATCGCTGAAGTTTCTAGCCACAAGCATAAACTAGCTAACTAGCTTGGAAGGGCTCATCAGGACGACTGCCTAAAACTAACCGAACCGAATTGCGTGACAGACAGACCATAAACAGTGGGTGATAGAGGAGAAGGTAAAGGACAAAGGCACGAACTCTGGGGGCAGGGGAACTTCTAGTCCAAGGAGAGGCTGGTTGGTCAATGGAGCCAGGGCAGTGATCGTCAGTCCTAGTCCTGGGAACCACAGGGTCTGCAGTCCTGATTCAACTAATCAACAAGCCCCCCATCAGTTGAATTAGGTGTGTTAGTGCTGGGCTGGAGCAAAAGCCTGTATACCCAGCAGACCTAGGTTTTTAAATACCTGAAAAATAGTGCTGAGCGATTAACCGATTATTATTATTTTTATTTATTTTATATTTTTTTTGGGGGGGGGGTGGTATAAAGGTTGTTTCAATTACTTGAATTCCATTTTGTTTTTTTGTTAGTCCAACGCGCCGTTTCTCTAGAGAGAAATCAAATCATTCACGAGAGAAATTAAGTCAATAACTATATGGTATGCTGGGCTGAAGGGAGTTGTAGTTTTCACTAAGCAAATATTCAACCTAGTTCAGCTCAGAAACGTGGTAATTAATTACAATGACTATAATCCATTGCGCCTGTTATTTTCAGGCTCTGATACACTTTTACACACAGACCGTATACGCCACCGCATGAGAGAGAGGATAGTAGACAAAACAATGACGAGAAAGTTTGACGAGATACATTTTATTATTTAATAGCAATTCTCTATTATAGAGGCAATAGAATATTTCCAATGTTTTGGCAATTGAATGTTCACTATTTTTGGCTTTTCCATTAAAAAGCTCTAATAATTTTAATGTCATTATTTCATAATGCATTTAATGTAAAAAAAACTATAATAAGTAATCGAACCGAAAGCAACCGACCTAAAAAAATCACTAATCGCTCAGCACTAGTGAAATAAATACTGTATCTGAGCCTGGTTCAAACCCCTGAGTAAGTTTAATTACATTATTTTTCAAGTATTTCAACCCAGGTCATATACCCAGGACCAAAACTGACAAACAATGTAAGAGATTGGGATTGAGGGGACAGGGATGGGGGGGATGGTGGGGGGGGGCAAAGAGGTTTTGCGGGTAGTGATTTACCTTTTCCTCCACACGTGGCGTTGACTGTGCAACAGCACGAGCACAGAGTGAAACGAGACAGACATATGGTGATTAGAGTGAGGCCAAACCATGGTACAACAGGTCACAACAAGTGGTGTAGGGGAGGGTAAACACACATAAATGTTGTTTACTGACATCTTTTATTTTGCACAAGCATTTACCCACCTTTTGCGGAAAAAAGGTTTTGAAAGTATAAGGAGCGTAACTTTACTCACCACAAACAGCGATCAGCTTTTACCCACCTCTTTTTTTTACCACTACATCACGTGTCACAACACAATCTAACACGGGCTAACACACAGCAGCACAACAGAAGGCATTACACACACAGCACAACACAACTACAGCACACTAAACACAGAACACTATACCCTAGCACACTTATTCCAAACAAAACAAAGCACAGAACATTAACTCAGCATAGTTGCTACTACTAAGCTATGCCAGGATACATTTTTATACTCTTCCCCCTGCACACACACGCCCACCCACACACACACACACACACACACACACTTTCCAAAAAGGTCACAACTATCTATATTATTTTATGTCTATGTTGTTGTATGAACTGTATTGTTTTGTCTGTATGCTGCTCAACGGATTTCCTCACTGGGGGATAACAACGTTTTCTGATGAAAATGTTAAAAAAGTCAGCCACTCACGTCCGTCCACTGCCTGGCCCTTCTAACTGGCTGTTGTTCCCTGCCTGTTGCATCTTGGACCTCTCAATATGCTCCACGTATGTTTGAATCATCTGACAGGAAGAGAGAGGATGAGTGAGGAAGATGGATGTAATTCCATTGACTTGGTTCTATTGTACCAGGCAAACAACATCAAGTACAAACCCTAGCAGCTAGTATGGAGTCAGATACTAAACTCTCTCATGCACGCACACGCACACACACACGGCTGTTCCTACCTCTGTGTGTCGCTGGTGCAAAGCGTTGTACTCCTTCTTCATGTCTGACTCACGCTCCTCCAGACGAGTGACTGAAACCCAGATAAACAGAATCAGAGTCAACCAGCCTCCCATTGCAACAGCACTGTGGGTTAGACACTTCGGGCTGGTTTCCCGGACACAGATTTTGGACAACAAACCTGTTCAAATGAGATTCTCCATTGAAAGTGCCTATTAGTCCAGGACTTGCTGGACATGGCTCCATATTGGACTGTGGATAGTGTGATGGTGCTCTCCATTTAAAGCTGGTCTGCTTTGAAACACTAAATGGTAGCAGGCCCGTTTCCTCCTTGATTGATGGTCTGCCTATCCATGTGAGAGACGCAGACTCTGTCTCGACCTTTAAGTCTTTACTGAAGACTCATCTCTTCACAACCACTGTGTGCTAGTAGGCGATGTGTAGTCCTCCACAATGTATGGTAGGTAGACAATAGTGCACAGTCACTGTGTGCTAGGCTATACACTTTGTGCTTGGCTGTCAATAGTGCACCGTCACATTGTGCTAGTTATGAGTAATGCAGACTCACAGTGTGTGTGGTAGTTCTGAGTAGTGAAGACTCACAGTGTGCTAATTCTGAGTTGTGCTAGTTCTAATTAGTGCACACTTGCAGTGTGCTAGTTTTGAGAAGTACACACTCACTCTGGTCGAAGTAGTTCTAGCTCTTAGTAGTACACAGTGTTTTAGTACTGCGGCACTACTCACTCTGGTCAGAGTAGTTCTAGTTATTAAAGACTGATGAGCAACAGAAAAACACATGCAGAATCGATGTGTTGTCTTAAGTGAACAAAGTCTGATCCATCGCACTGCTGGGCATATCTGTCTCACTGTATATGCCGTTAGATACAGTGCAATCACCTGCAGCTGTTTATCCCATGTAGTGGGCAAATGGCATTGTCGAAATCAAATTGTTACTTCTAGTTATTAAGTCTATACTCACTCTGGTCAGAGTAGTTGTAGATATTATAATAATAATATAATAATATAATATGCCATTTAGCAGACACTTTTATCCAAAGCGACTTACAGTCATGTGTGCATACATTTTTACGTATGGGTGGTCCCGGGGATCGAACCCACTAACCTGGCGTTACAAGCACAATGCTCTACCAATTGAGCTACAGAGGACCACTCTGCACTCTGGTCGGAGTAGTTCTAGTTATTAATAGTCTATACTCACTCTGGTCGGAGTAGTTCTAGTTATTAATAGTTCTATACTCAATCTGATCGAAGTAGTTCTGGTTATTATAATTTTATACTCACTCTAGTCGGAGTAGTTCTAGTTATTAAGTCTAAGGGTGTTTCACAAATAGTCCTCTTTAAAAGAACCGATCTCAGTCCTCTTTAGTGAACTCTGGGGTAAAAAAAGCAAAAGAACTCAGTTCTCTTTGTATTCACACTGCCCTTGACTTCAAATGAGGACTCTTTTGCCAGTTCAATTCACCTATTTTGTGGTCCGAGTCTTCTTTGCATTCACATTGCTATGTTTAGAAAGGAACCAAGATCTTTTTCCAACATTCATTCAATGCACTCTGGGTTTTTACAAGGTGCAGGACAAGCCATTCCATCAGAACGCTTTATCATACAGCTATTTATATATACGTATATTTTGGAAGCTAATAGATTGCATTTAGTTAAAAGATGAGACATAATAATTATAATCAGAAGATACTATTAACATGTAAATATGATTGGTAACAGAATAAATAACACATCAATAACTGCAGGTTAAATAATGATGTAATTGAAAATTGTACACCCAATGTCAGCTACTGCCCCTTTAAGAGCTATAATTGATTTTGTACCCTATGTTGTGATTCTCACCAAATATATTGTTGTCTTCTCACACTATTCAAACCCCACAAGTGAATAAACAGGTTATGAAGCTTTCTTTATAGATCACATATTGCAAACATATAATCTGAACTAAAAACACACATTTTTTTCTGCGGAACGGCAGATAATCATCTTCTCTCTTTTGTGGCACCAATGTGAGGGGTTATGGCAGGGGACACGGTGTTGCAGTATTCTAGAATGTGGTGCGGGAATAATGACAAGCGAACCTGGGTAGCTTTGTGTTCACATTGCCCTAAAAAAGGGAACTGGACCGAGGAATTCAAGTGAACCGAACAGACCACCTCTCGAGTTCGGTTCGCTTCAGGGTCCCTTTTGAGGGGTCTGAGTTCCTTTGGAGTGTTCACACTGGGCAAAAAATTAAGCGAACTGCACTGAGTTCACAAATATTGTCAGAAAGGGACCAAGTGTGAAAACACCTTAATACTCACTCTGGTCAGAGTAGTTCTTGGTCTTGAGCTCCAGTTGTTTCCCCTGCAGTTCCAGGCTCTCCACATGAGTCTGCAGGTCCTTCTTCTCCCCCTCCAACGCATCCTCAAACTCTATGAATTTCTGTGGGAGAGAACAACCACACACAGTCAGTCAAAACCATCCTCAAACGCAATGGGCCAGTTTCCCGGACACAGATTAAGCCTAGTCCTGGACTAGAAAGCTTACTCAATGGAGAATCTCCATTGAAAGTGTTTTTTTGCCCAGGACTAAGTTTACTCTGTGTCCAGGAAACCGGCCATATACATTTTTATGGGAGAGAACATTCACACACAGTGAAATGTATCCTCAAACTCTATCAATTTCCGTGGGAGAAAACAACCAACAATTAATTCAGGAAGTGAATTGAAATTGCAAATCAAGAATGGAAAAATCTTCATCAAAGATAAAATAGATAGTCAATACAGTGCATTCGGAAAGTATTCGGACCACATTTTGTTACGTTACAGCCTTACTCTAAAATTGATTAAATTAATAAAATCCTCAATCTACACACAATACGCCATAATGTGGGTCAATACAAGATTCTCTGTTCTGATGAAACCAAGATTGAACACTTTGGCCTGAATGCCAAGTGTCACGTCTGGAGGAAACCTGGCACCATCCCTATGGTGAAGCATGGGGGTGGCAGCATCATGCTGTGGGGATGTTTTTCAGTGGCAGGGACTGGCAGACTAGTCAGGATCGAGGGAAAGATGATCGGAGCATAGTACAGAGAGATTGTTGATGAAAACCTGCTCCAGAGAGCTCAGGACCGCAGACTGGGGCAAAGGTTCACCTTCCAACAGGACAACGACCCTAAGCACACAGCCAAGACAAAGCAGGAGTGGCTTCAGGACAAGTCTCTGAATGTCCTTGAGTGGCCCAGCCAGAGCCCAGACTTCAACCCGATCGAACATCTCTGGAGAGACCTGAAAATAGCTGTGAAGCGACACTCCCCCCCCATCCAACCTGACAGAGCCTGAGAGGATCTGCAGAGAAGAATGGGAAACTCCTCAAATACAGGTGTGCCAAGCTTGTAGCGTCACACCCAAGAAGACTCGAGGCTGTAATCGCTGCCAAAGGTGCTTCAACAAAGTACTGAGTAAAGGGTCTGAATACCTATGTAAATGGGATATTTCCGGTTTATATTTGTAATAAATTTGCAAACATTTCTAAAAACCTGTTTTTGCTTTGTAATTATGGGGTATTATGTGTAGATTTATGACATTTTTTTATTTTTAAAAATCTATTTTAGAATAAGGCTCTAACGTACAGTTGAAGTCGGAAGTTCACAAACACTTAGGTTGGAGTCATTAAAACTCGTTTTTCAATCACTCCACAAATTTCTTGTTAACAAACTATAGTTTTGGCAAGTCGGTTAGGACATCTACTTTGTGCATGACACAAGTCATTTTTCCAACAATTGTTTACAGACACATTATTTCACTTATAATTCACTGTATCACAATTCCAGTGGGTCAGAAGTTTAAATACACTAAGTTGACTGTGCCTTTAAACAGCTTGGAGAATTACAGAAAATGATGTCATGGCTTTAGAAGCTTCTGATGGGCTAATTGACATAATTTGAGTCAATTGGAGGTGTACCTGTGGATGTATTTCAAGGCATACCATACCAAACTCAGTGCCTCTTTGCTTGACATCATGGGAAAATCAAAATAAATCAGCCAAGACCTCAGAAAAAAATTGTAGACCTCCACAAGTCTGGTTCATCCTTGGGAGCAATTTCCAAACGCCCGAAGGTACCACGTTCATCTGTACAAACAATAGTACGCAAGTATAAACACCATGGGACCACGCAGCCATCACACCGCTCAGGAAGGAGACGCGTTCTGTCTCCTAGAGATTAACGTACTTTGGTGCGAAAAGTGCAAATCAATCCCAGAACAGCCTCAAAGGACCTTGTGAAGATGCTGGAGAAAACAGGTACAAAAGTATCTATATCCACAGTAAAACAAGTCCTATATCGACATAACCTGAAAGGCCGCTCAGCAAGGAAGAAGCCACTGCTCCAAAACCGCCATAAAAATGCCAGACTACGGTTTGCAACTGCACATGGGGACAAAGATTGTACTTTTTGGAGAAATGTCCTCTGGTCTGATGAAACAAAAATAGAACTGTTTGGCCATAATGACCATCGTTACGTTTGGAGGAAAAAGGGGGTTGCTTGCAAGCCGAAGAACACCATCCCAACCGTGAAGCACGGGGGTGGCAGCATCATGCTGTGGGGGTGCTTTGCTGCAGGAGGGACTGGTGCACTTCACAAAATAGTTGGCATCATGAGGAAGGAAAATTATGTGGCTATATTGAAGCAACATCTCAAGACATCAGTCAGGAAGTTAAAGCTTGGTCGCAAATGGGTCTTCCAAATAGACAATGATCCCAAGCATACTTCCAAAGTTGTGGCAAAATGGCTTAAGGACAACAAAGTCAAGGTATTGGAGTGGCCATCACAAAGCCCTGACCTCAATCCTATAGAAAATTTGTGGGCAGAACTGAAAAAGCGTGTGCGAGCAAGGAGGCCTACAAACCTGACGCAGTTACACCAGCTCTATCAGGAGGAATAGGCCAAAACTCACCCAACTTATTGTGGGAAGCTTGTGGAAGGCTACCGAAACGTTTGACCCAAGTTAAACAATTTAAAGGCAATGCTACCAAATAC